TTCTTTTTAAAGAAAAACAGTCGACTGAAAAGTAGTCTTATTACATGATTCACTTTATAGAATGCTAAGGTAATCCCTATTGAAACTAGATTACGATAAGTTACACTTCAATTAATTTTTCGGTATCGTGAGCGACAGGTTAGCGTTATTTGGTAAAGCAGCCAAAATGGAAAATAATTTAAACTTATCAAGTAATAATAATAATACTTGAATAGTCAGCTGTTAACTAAACGCATTAAGACACATAACAGTAATATCGGGATTCAACTGTTCTGTTTTAAAGTACTATATGAACAGTGCCAACTGATTTCGTTTGTAAATCGTAGAAAGTACACCCACTCTACCATAGTGTTAGTTCGAATGTTCAAGCTTTAGAGGATGCTAAAGCGTGAATACATTTGCGGCATTATGACCGGATTTCAGCCATGTCACCGAGAGTCCTCAACCACTGGTTCCTATCATCTCGGTGACCTGTCAGGTAGTCTACATCTCCCTACACGAATTCCAACCTAGTCTGGTTATTAAAAATGTCACATGGTGAAATAGTATTATTTACCGGATAACGTTTCCGACGTAATTTATTGTTCATATTCAGTATGTCCATGCACTGCGCCTGTGTTTAGATTGTTTCTGGTTACGTTCGGATTTAAGAAATCCCAGCACATTTCAAAGTTGAGTCAAAAACCACTGCTTCCTGACGTCCCAGTCGATAGTGGCTTTTAAAGTCAAACAAAAAATTGAATCTTAACTAATGACTTTAGTCACTAAGTGAAAAACCTCTGAAATAACAAATTCGGATGCTTTGTTTCGACGGGAAAGATAGTTCTTCACAAATAACTAAACCTAATTGGCTATCCCAACAGTTGCTAGAGTAGCTTTTCGCATCGAGTGTAAGCGAGCCTGTAACGTCACTTGTCGGTTTGCTAATGGTCATCAACTTATCGACATACTGTGTCAGTTAGGATTTTGTCTATGCCTACAATGACATCAGGACGATCATAGATTTTTGTTATTTTGAAGGCCACCATAAAAATACTGGAGTAACCAATGAGATTTCAGGATTTGGTGAGAAATCTACTTTTCTATTCGGAATACAAAAACCTGGTTCATCATCTCTTTTGTTTCTAGTGTTCTTTGAACTCTCTCTACTTTGAACACATGTTGATTCAAGCTGGTATCATTTTGGGAATCTTCAAATTACTGATGCAAATATATATTTTACATTTTTAGTTTTTGGTGATACATTCAGGTCGAGTAAACTGGATTTTTTATATATTAGCATAAGAAAGTCTCATATACTTGTCGATAAATTGATGAATCATTAACGAACAGGCTACACACAACGTGGTGCTTCTAATGTGAATGGTCATATGGTATAAGTGATACTCGTTTATTTCGTCAAAAAAAAAAAACACAGGCTTGTTGAAGCTGATCACCTCACTTGACTGCTTTGATTGCTAGTCATATATGCTGTGTACGTTGCACATTTGGATTCCACTTGCTTTTGAGTATATCATCTCAGTCTAAATATATGCTGCCAAATATAAATGACATACGAGTTGGGTTAAGCAACAGATGATTGACACTGCGATGGCAACGGTAGTTTAATATCTGGAGTTTTCTCATATCTTCTACGTTTAATGATCACTTTTCAGTATTAGAGTAGCACAAAGTGAATTACAGCCCAATACACTCAACCCCTTGCAGAAAATCAGACATCTCATTAGTATCATAAGTGGTGCAAGTTGGCAAAAGTCACCGACGCACTTGGGTTAGCACGACTTCCTAGGTGAGTGGAAGCGTATCCCAAACATCCTCAGGAATATTTCGTTTGTGTGCTTTACGTGGACTATGGGATCTCCTTAAAAGAAATTAGTTTGTATAAAGTGGTACGAGAAGATCACCATGATAATATCTATGACAAATTTGAATGAAAATAGAGAGGATAGACATCTTTAATGAAGACCATCTCACTGCAGATTCTAATATCACTGACGGTTGGTATTCGGGTAAAGAGCCTTCAGTAAGCCTATATGTCTTCTAGGTAAAGGATTCGGTGAAACAAAATCTATTTGTCGATGAAGTCAGTGGTAATCTTGTTCTAAACTTATTTACTGTTTCTTTTTCAGTCCCTTGTTTTCACTGTCATTAGTTCCGACACTTCCTTCTGGCTGTTGATTTCTGCGAACTGGTGTACTCATCATTGTGGCATGTTATGCGTTGTTTCTTTTTAAAGAAAAACAGTCGACTGAAAAGTAGTCTTATTACATGATTCACTTTATAGAATGCTAAGGTAATCCCTATTGAAACTAGATTACGATAAGTTACACTTCAATTAATTTTTCGGTATCGTGAGCGACAGGTTAGCGTTATTTGGTAAAGCAGCCAAAATGGAAAATAATTTAAACTTATCAAGTAATAATAATAATACTTGAATAGTCAGCTGTTAACTAAACGCATTAAGACACATAACAGTAATATCGGGATTCAACTGTTCTGTTTTAAAGTACTATATGAACAGTGCCAACTGATTTCGTTTGTAAATCGTAGAAAGTACACCCACTCTACCATAGTGTTAGTCGAATGTTCAAGCTTTAGAGGATGCTAAAGCGTGAATACATTTGCGGCATTATGACCGGATTTCAGCCATGTCACCGAGAGTCCTCAACCACTGGTTCCTATCATCTCGGTGACCTGTCAGGTAGTCTACATCTCCCTACACGATTCAGACCAACAGTCAGTGACTTCATGCACTTTTGCCACATTTTGGTGTGGTCACCATGAACCCTCTTCCAACCTAATCCAACTTCCCTTAACATCGCATGTCGAGGCAGGTCAAACGATAACAATTATAAAGGTCAACTTTTGATAAGAAAAGCACAGGTGGTTCCTACCCATAAGCCAGTAACGCTCAAGGTAGGCAAATATTCTTCATGAACATTCATGGGACTCAAAACTACTTCACTTCTTTATGAAGTAAGTGGCGATGAAGTCACTTAGCCCGGTGGTAAAATGTCCGAGAACAAACCGCAGTACTTGGAGGTGACCAATTGATTATCAATATTGAACTGGTTCTATAATATACTTTTTTCATCTGCTGAGTCTAATTTCCAGAGTAGTAAACTATGTGGAGACTATGCAATGTGAAAGAGAGCGAGGAAACCAGTTAGTAAATGCTGTTTAGCTATCTGTTGTGCATCGTTCAAGGGATAAGTATATAGTAAGTAAGTAAGAAATCACTTTTATCTTTTACATTCAGTCAAATGTAATAAGCATGTTTTAAGTACCTTGTAAATTTTCATCAGTCAGGAAAATGGTCTGCTAGTTGTGAGGTATTTAACCTCAGTGAGATAAAAAAAATAAATTTCTGATATTTCGCGACCTCATGGAAGTCGCTCCTTCAGAGAATGGAATCTGTACAAGTTGTTGCATTTTTAAATAGTAAATGGCGACAGATCAGATTACATTGTTCATACGTGATAACAATATTTGTCATCATTATCAACCACTAATCCGTGAGTTCAAGGTGGTATGAAAAAAATGTAATGGATGAAGAAATCACATAGGTTAAGCTTTGTTGATTATGATGCTTATTATATTGGGGAGTCATTCGGAGAGTTCCTCATTCGTGCTAAAAACCATGCAAGTTACTAAAAGCGACCTCCACATGATCCTTTAAAACTAGAGAATATACAAATCAAATCGGCAATTGTTGTTCATGCCATCTGTCATAGTCACAAAATTGATAGAGAAAGTATTAAAATTATTCAAATAGGCTTTTCAAACTTCATTGGAGAAAGGGTAGCTGAGGTACTTCACATTATATTGAGTTTTCATGCATTCAACTGAAGGGAAGGCATAAATATCCGACCAATTTCGACGGTATATCTGAAATAACAGATCACACATACTAGTCATAACTAAAGTACATACAAACAAAACGAATTCTCCATCCATGTTACTTCCCCACACCTTCGGACTCATCCATATCTTCAGTTTGAACTCACGGACAAATAAATGATAACGATTACACTTATCCACATATTATTATTATGTATGAACAATGTAGTATGATCTGTCGCCATTTACTATTTAAACATGCGACAACTTGTACAGATTTAATTCTCTGAAGGAGCGACTTCCATGAGGTCGCGAAATATCAGAAATTTGTTTTTCTACCTCACTGGGATTTTACGAATATATTTCATCTATAATCCATCTATTTAATGCCCAACTTATTCAGCTCTATCAGGTTGAATTTGATCCTAAAGTCTATCAAACTCAGTGTAGTTATACTTAGTGATCTAAATATTTTGGGCAAAAAAGTAGTTTACTAAGACATTTGTTAGCGGTGCATTTATTTGGAAGGAAGTGTACCAAACGCATCTTTCATGTGCATTTATTCATATCCACACTTGTTGAATTTTGTCTCTATCTGTATAAACACCCAGTGAAAATAACATCTTAGCATTTGTCTAAATGAGTAAGGTCAGACATTGTGAATACTGTAAAAAAAATTCACAAATCATGCTTCAACTAGTAATTGGACGAATAAGTTATGACGAGATCTCGTAATCCTAGTCATTATGTTTCGATGTGTTATTCTGGGTTTTCTGATGAAATCTACTTTCTGAAATCAATGTCAACTATACACAACAAGATTAATATTCTTCGAGCTGTTTTCCATCCGAATAGAGCATCTGTTATGCAATATGAATAGTTTTAGATATCGACAGTACCTCCTTGCTATGACTAATTTTACTTTTCCAATTAGTCAAATACTAGCAATATTTCATTTTTATCTGTTCCAACAATTGGCTATCCTATTGAATCTCCGCTTAACTAGTTTCCATGACAATGGTATTAAGTCCATCACTGTTAGCGTTTTTTTCGTCGAAAGTAATAATGGACTCATATTTTTAGTATGAATACAGTCTATTTCCCGTCATTGAGTTAGTTTCCGTCTTTATCTGTATTTGATCATTTCTTTCAGGATTGCTATGAATCCAAGACGACGCTTTTCCAGTCATCCTGTAGAATGTAATGGTCTGTATATTGATTATCTTACTGGGTGTGAACACAATGCAAAGTTTCCTTCAAACTGCCTGTATTCACAACTGACTAAAAGTCATTATGATACAGCGTCGGATACATTTGAGTCAAGTTCATCAAGTAAGCAAGAAAAAGTCCCAAAATCAGATAAAAATTTACCCATTCATTCGATGGATCAATTTAAATCTCATAATTGTATTAATGTAAGTTCTTTGTATGTGGATTAGCAAACATTGAATTGTTAATAGAAGTAATGAAGTGTTTTTTATCAGGCTAAATTAAATCGATGTTTATTGGTATAAATCATCTTTTACTCACCAAGAGTAAATGCTGACAGGTATTTATGGCTTTAAAAAATATTTTTTTCTTTTTCAAATGGTACATTTTTTTAATGTGCCAATTACGCAACACGCGTCTTCCTTAAGGTTTTAAAAGACGTTTATTCACACGTGCGTTTTGGTTTGCATACTCTAGTCAGTAATTTGACATCTATTTTTCTTTTTTACCAGTGGAAGCTTATCTACGGAAATCTTTTTCTTATCTTTTATTAAATGCTGGATGGCAATTAAAACTATCTGGGATGGCCACGATCAATAAGTTAGTTTCTATGTACGTCAGGGATCGTTAAAGTTAGAAGGAAATCATGGCCTTAGAATGATGTGAAAATTTTTTGTTTGACAAATAGGGGGGTAGACACGGATTTATTTAACCCCATATATACTGATAATATATGTAATAAAACGCTGTAATTCACTATGCCTTCCGAACAAATTTGTAGGGTTTTCCTGTGTTAATCGATCATCCGTATCGATAGCGTGGGAACATAGTCAAAACACCAACTCATTGAAATGAAAAATCTGAAAACCTTGTGAATAACTCTGAAGACTACTCTAGCAACCATCGAAATAACCAGTTAGGTTTCTTTCTTTCATGAAAAGTATCATAGGTACTGGTAAAACTGTGAGCAATGATGGTTTCTGTATCAATAACACACAGTATGCTAGGGATCCAAAGACGATATTGTGCCACTGGCTGCATGGAGTACTGTAGAAGTCAAATGCTTCCCTCAAATGATCATACTAGATGATACTGTTTTCCTGTTCTGGGGAGGAACGGTTGGAAAAGGCTGCGCTAAAAACATCATACTCTTCTTCGAGAAATGTCAACCATCATGTCTCTCTCAAAACACAAGTCTTTACTAAAAAAAGATTACCCTTTTCCTTGGCACTCTGTAATACCTTTATTTTTTAACTCTGCAGCTTATGATAACAATCGAAGCTCACTTACAAGCAAATTCGTATCCTGAGATCATACTTCAAGTGAGGCCTTAGTAACCAAAACTGTGGCATCTCAAACCATGGACGTTTTCAGTGTTCGTGAGACACAAATGCAGAATCCGAATGTGCTTATTCTCTTACCTAACATGTGCAGTGGATCTGCAAAATTCGCCATCGGAATTTCCGTAGATTCCTCGGCCAATTCTTGTAGTGACGCAGGTGTGAGCATAGCATTATAGCCTGAGGCAGAAACTGCACTCGTCTACTGGGTCCCAGTTTACAGTCTTCCAGGCTTTGTTCAGTTGAATGATGTGTTAAGTACTTAGAGGAATAGTGGTGAAGCTCGCCATTATCTCCTTCTAATATCCTAAATCTGCATCCACTGATTGCAGTTTGAATGAGCTGAATTGTGAGTTCTACTGTAAACTTTCTACCCTCCCATTGAAAGCCAGACGTTTGGATGGGGTCATCGTAGCGGGTGATCTCGATATACAAATAGGAAGGCTAAGTCAAACAGAAAGTCACTCAGGTAGTAATTTTGCAATCCTTACTCATCTCAATTACAATGGCGACTGTCTGTCATAGTTGTGCTCAGAAGATGACTTATTTCTGGTTAGCACGAATTTCTTAAATGGAAATGGAGAGATATTGTGTGATTTGGTGACCATCAGTCTGTATTGGAAACCTGTATTTCTACCAGTCATCGTTGGAAGATCTCCACTCCTTCTGTTGCACATTTTTGTGTAGTGGATCAGATGCTCGTCGGTGCATTCTTCATGCTGCGTTAAAATGGATGTGTGACAACTGCAGTAGACGGTTGTGAACTCAACTCTATGATGCGGTTATTTTGGAAAAGTTTAGACAGTTAGCGTGACATGACATAGCTACTTTCTTTGGCGAAATCTAGTGCCCTCTCTAGTCTACTATAAAAACAGCATTGAAGACCATCACCAACTCTCAGAATGTGGAAAAGGATGCCAATGGATCTCAACTGCTTCGTCTTGATTAGTGGACGCACGCGAACGCACTCAGACAGGCTTCCAACACAGTGAGTGGAGCAACAGATATGTGGATTGGTCAAACGTCTAGGCAATGACAGCGAACAATTGTGGGTGGGTAACGAAGGCTGAAGAGATGGGAAAAGCAGTGGCGATAGGTGATTGTAGCTAGTTGTTTATCACTATAACCATTACAGAAGCTGTGCACATCTGTTCATATCCTTCTTCGGTCAACAGAAAAGATGGGTTAGACATCCCACTAATATGGCAAAATTAATGACTCACCTAGGCAGTTATAAATAATATCTGAAGAGAAGGGAGAACACAATTTGATTCCACATGATTTATTTATTCCGAATTCACTCTTGTTTGAATACTCTCCGGTGTTGTTTTTCTTAATCGTCTTAACCACGAGAAAAAAGGAAAAAAAATATTTGTTGCATTTTAACAACTTGTCTAGTCCTATTACATAACCCTTTATTGATATACGATTTTCATCAATTCTGGCTACTTTCTCAGTTATCACTCATACTTCAGGTGTTATCAAAAGTACATTTATCTTTATCATTATTGATTTATCATATATAGTCTTATCTTCAAATATTCATGCTTCCAAATTAGCAATCTATTCTTTCTCACTCTTGATGTCTCACAACCCCATTGTACTTTTCATAGACGAACTAAAAAATTTTTCCCCACCCTATTTTTGTTCCACCTTACTCTCACAACGAAAAAACCTCTCTGACCGAGTTGCTTATTCACCCATCTGTATTACATCGATCTCTGCTCCATGTCACTATGTAATTGGATGATTGTAAAGGTCACCACCTTGTGTAACAAAACTTGAATATTAAACTGGGAACTTAATGTCACATTTATACTTTTGAAAAGGATCTTCCTAGCAAGATCGAATCGTTGAGGAATAATACAAAATATTTGTTTATTTTGTTATTTGTTCTAATATACTACGCCGGGAGTACACAAGTAAAAATACACCTTATACTATGAATCATACTAACTCGGTGCCCAAGTTTTTTCAAACCATCTAGTCCATTGTTGGTCAGGATACCTTCAAACTTAGTCCTGGAGAAGTTATCCAATAATACCAATTGTTTCTCAACTCACCTAACTTTATCATGAGAACTAACTACGAGACATTCAGTTTCCCAGAGGTTTTATAGTCTACTAATTAAATTATTATAGACTACAGGATCTATAAGAATGGAGACATCACTGGGATAAATAAAAAAGGCGATCAGTGTCATTCCCGTTGCAGTGATGATCATATTGTTGAGTGACCATTGCTTCAAAGCAAGAAAATAGTAGGCACATAACGCAATGAAATAATGAGCAGTATAAACGAACCAATATTAAAAAGATATGACTTGTGTAACAATACAAAAAAATCATAGGGAATGAGATAATAATGATAGCAGTAAAAAAAAAGTAAAATAGTTTCCACAATTTGATGAACTTGTCTCAAAGTGGAAATAATGTACATTATGTGATTATACTACAATATAATACTATATGTAATACAATATATAATGGTAAATTACAAAAGTAAGAATCACTTTGTAATTGTATAATTTGGCGCATATATTGACTCAAAAGCTTAGTTAATCGCTTATCATACACCTCCAACCGGATCTTTTTATAACATGAGAAACTTTTTACCTCAAAAGTCATGGGCAAAAAATAATACAAAATTATTGACAATACTGCTACTACCATCTGTCTGTATATTGACAATACCAGTCAGTTATAAAGTTGTATGCAAATAGCAGACATTGCAGCTTAACTGGTCGCTAACTTTGTTAGGGTATGGATACAATTATTGGTGACTGTGATATGGAATGTGGAATGAATGGATCAAACGATCCAAGATTCGACTAGTTAACGAATTCATATTCTGTTGGCTTTGTTTACTTTTTTGTAGATTCGTCATTCTATAGGTTGTCTACAAAGCAAAAAAGATTCAAACCTTTTTGTTAGTCATGCTCCATAATACAGCTAGCTAATTACTTGTGTAAGAGACAAGGAAGGATATTCCAAAGATGTTTTTAAAAGGAAACATCGACGTCACAATAAATAAATTAAGAGAACTAGGTGAAAGAAATATAAAGACCTAATCACTCAACACCTTGATAAGCACATGTCTCTACAAAAGGCGTGAAGAGTTACTCTTTTTGCTGAGAAGAATAACTCTTCACTGAATGTCTTTTGCTCGATGACAGTAGAAATTTTCAAATTACAAATCACCACGGTAAATGAGTTTGTTTATTAATCCCTACTTATCTGAAGAGTAAAAATTAGCGCAAATAAGGTTTGCATTTCTTTAGAAAATGAGCTGACACGACTACCCGTTTGTAGCCTCCATCAGATGAGTATTGTTCACTATGACAGAAGTGTTTGCAGACAGACAAATCAAGCTACAACCTGGCACAGAAGTGCACCGGTTAACATGGCATGGCAAGAAAAAATGGAGGGGAAACAAGTTACATAAAAATGAGTAAAGTTTGGAAGAGAATGAATAAATGAAGGTGAATGAGAATGTTCAAGACCTAGAAGATGACAAAGATTGTACGCATGTGAGCAATTGTAACCGATTCTGCAAAAAAACTTCACCAAGAGTCTCCAAACATTAACCCCTACACCTTCCCTACGTAACTCTGTCAAACAATCACAGATTTCGGTGATCCCCCCTCGGCAAAAAAGCGGAAGCATGTAAATCGAATATCGGTTAGTAAACAAAACAGTTTTGATGAAACAAAAGTTAGAAAATACCTAATTTTAGGCCTCTGTAAACTAGCCTATGGAATATAAAGTCATTAACAATGAAAGTAGAGAATATGATCGACATTAACAATACAGTAACTTGTAAATGTTTTAATTGCTGAACCGAAACACCTTACTGTTGTCACACCTCATCCAACTAACAGCAGTACGACTTCGCCCTCAGATCCCCATCATAGTGTAGTAATTTACACCACAACGGTAACTGCTTTTCGTCTAACGACTATCTAACAGACCTTTCTGGTATGGTAGGACCTCGAGAGAACAAGTGTTCCACCAGCATAGCTCGTTGGGTCATTGTGATATGCAAGCCCGACCACCATGTCAAGGTAGCAGCTATCAGTCGGGATAATAAAGGGATGACCATGAGGCCTCCCCACTGACAAAAACTAGACATCCGAGCGCACCTGATTAGGGTTCGTCGCGAGTTTCAACCCACTGAGGTGCAGTGGTGAGCTTCCACACGGGGTCAGAGCATTCCTGATGACCCTGAACCCAGCGCTTAAATATTGGACTTCCAAAAGTGTTTTCTACCGAGTATATTCCTTCAAAAACTTCCCTTTCAGTTTGCTTACATCTCTCGAATGTATTATGTACTCTCGCACATTTTTAAAATGTTTCCAAACTGTTGTTTCTCAGGCTAAGAACGAAACAAAGAAATAAAGCGTTACAACGGATAGAAATAGACATATGTGCTGAAAAATACAGCACAGTACTATTTCTGGGATATCTCTATCGAATTAGAAATTTTTGTACTACCTAATTGAACTACCACCACCATAATTACACTCGATTTTGTATTCATCTCCAAGTCTAAACCGGACGCTAATGTAACACCAGTTACCCATTTCATGTTAGTGCCTTTAATACTATTATTAACACTATTTAGACGCAGTAATTACTTCTTTTAAAAATATTGTACTGGGAGCGCATTTGTTAACATATCACATGCTGAAAACTCCATAATGTTGTTTGGAATAAAGCGATCATTATTCTTGTTCAATGTAAATGCACCAGATGAAAAAATTACAATGAACTAAAACTAGTAGAGAGGTTGTGAATCTCTCCTCATGCTTTATAGTTCGTGTTATGGGTCATATGTATAGAGAAATGAAAGTAAAGTGCTAGTAGTACTTAACAATGAGGTATACATACAGAATCTTAGTAATATGAGCGTTAAAGATGTATCTACAACTAAAAAATTAAATTCCGGGATTCAACTTTTAAAGTTCATTAGGCGTTGTAAAAATCAGCGGGGTGAAATGTAATGAAAAATAAGAGGTCGAGAGAGTTATTCCAAGTTTTCTGTATATATTTTTTCACTTTGAAGTAAAAAATACTTTTCTGTTTCAACTAGATGTAAGCATTTTTACCAATTGATAATAGTCCTATGAAAATGTTAGTGTTCGTTATCCTTCATGTTTCGATAATTAAACATGGACTTTTCACTACAACGCTGGCTAACTTACCGAAAACCAATTTCTTGAAAGTGTGGAATTGCGGTCAGTTAAATCAAGGATTGGATTTTCAATGAGTGAATCAAGAACTGAAAGCTTGTTTCAACTGTACATTTTTGAGTAGCCAGGTAGCCTTACGTAATAAACAGCCTGTTACTTACATATGCATGCGGAGGTTGACATGAACACCCCGTGTTATTAAAACCATAGGTCTTTAAACAGAGAAGCTTTCGTTCCATTGAGCAAATTGTCTTTTCTGTTAATACAAGAGCATGTGTATCTACTTACAATTGTTATATAAAGGAGATTTGAAGACAAGTAATAAAGACAGTATTCTAAATTAATTATAGGAGTAAAACTTGAACTCTGTACTAAATTGAAATTCCATTCTAGTCTGGTTATTAAAAATGTCACATGATGAAATAGTATTATTTACTGGATAACGTTTCCGACATAATTTGTTGTTCATATTCAATATATTCATGCAGTGAGCCTGTGTTTAAATTGTGCAGTTAGAAATCCCTCTGTACTTTAATGTATACCTGACATATATAATCTGTTTCCGTTATCCAATTAGTCTGCTACGGTACAGTGTCCGGAACAGAAAGACAAATGTAACGACAAGTTTTTCTACAATATATTATCATGTCAACGACACTCATAATGTCTTATAAAGATTAGCCGTATGCATCTATATTCAGGCAACAGTGCTCCTCTATCTTGATATGGTGATAAAGCTGACTCTAAAATAGTGCTTAAAAAGAGAGTGAGTTAAACACAACGCCTAAGGAAGACCAAATCAATCGCATTCATAATATAGTTTGTAAATACTTATCACTGTATAATAAATAGATATAAAACGCAATACACTGTATCCAAAGTCCTCATATCACAACTTGCTGATGTCAATGTGACATCGAAATTTAACCCTCCAAACCTCCATTAACAGTAGACCATGTGTTGTTCATTAAGAAAAATTAGTTGGAGAGAGAGAGAAGGAACTTTCCGCTCCGTATCCACTCGAATAGTGATCGTGAACAAGAAAGAAATATAAAAGCTCTACAATACTGTATTTAGTTCGTGTCCCGATTGACGAATAAAGTATTAGAAATGAACTAACGAGCTTTCGTTTTTGGAAGCAAACTAATTAAAGAGTACAACCTGGTGTTATTTAAGTATTACGAATCTAATTGCAGATGTAACAGTTTATCTAAGTTAACTCTGCATTTTCAAGAAAGTTGTAGAAGGAGAAAATATTTTTATCTTTTATATATAATTTCCAATTAAATTATTTTATTACGTATACAAATACACACTGTTTCTGTCCAACTGATGCTGTATGACATGCTGAAAATGCTGTACAGTGTTTCTAGAATATCTTTCGGAATAAAGCCATAATTACTATTATTATTGTTGTTAAATACCTCAAGTATGCATATCGATTTGCAGTGACCACCATGCTTAAGATATGAATATACAGTGTTATGGGAAACAACTTCGTGAATATGTTATTACGTGCGAGAAACAATACCACTCACTGGAAGGCAGGTGCATCCAGATGACGAGTCCTAAATAAAACAAAACGAGCGTCCTGGATTATACTGCTATTCAGTATCTATCATAACTCCAGTGAAGTGTTATTATGTCTATGAAAGTCTATACAAGACAATTATTAATTTCACAAGGATGGCCGTGGTTTGAACTAAGGTACCTTACTTATTTTCACGTTCGTATTCACCATGGGATGATACAGGTTGGAGAAACACTGAAAACCTGAGAGCACTGAACAGCTGATTCGTCCTAGTATGAGGCTCCTCAGCAGTGTGCACCCATGACCCTGCCGGGAAACGAACTGACAGGAGTAGAAAATATGGACCATTGGATTCTAACCCCGTGGCTCAATGGCGACGTGTTGGTAGGCGAAGCTGTAGATGATGGATTCAATCCCCAGGAGAGGGGGCAGTCCTAGTAAGGAGTCCCATATTAGGACCGAACAGCCGGCCAGTGCTTTCGAGGTTTCCAATGTTTCTCCAGCTGACGTCAGACCATAATGAATGCCAAAGGGAAATCAACAAGTCCTCAAAAACTTCCAAATTTTACCTTCTTTATGTTTATGCATCAGTTATTTCCATACTGAACAGCAGTAGTACGAAGGATTTGTACCTCAGAAAACAGAAGGTAATTCCACGATTTTTCGAGCGCTCTGAAGTTTATTCGACGCTTCATCAGTCAGCTAGGTGACTCTACACCAACACCCCTATATTTATTGCTTCTTGATGAAGTAGGTGCCGACAACGTGACTCAGTTTAGTGATTAAATGTTTAAAAACAAATATCAAAGCTGCAACAACATAGAACACTTATAGCACTGAAGAGCGATTGATTTTCATAAAAGACGACATTTAGTACAGCTAGAGGATTCACCCGAGGTAAGAAAAATAAAACCTCGCCTGGTTAACTAGTTCGATAGTTACTAGCCGGTCCTAAGCCCGGGTAAAGAGGCAAGGTTGGGCATAAGGCTAGCAACCCTACACCGTAAAAAAAATCCAATCACTAAACAAACTTATTCCCCGCTGAAATCGGGAAGACGAAATGACACCAATTAGTGAAAGCCTTCGGGAACCCAATTGGCCGATGTGTCTTCTATTCTCTTGATGAAAACAGAAGTAAACATGGGGACATGAAATGTCCGCACTGTGTTTGAAGCTGGCTGGCAAGGCTGCACAGATTGCGAAAGAGCTGAGGATGTATGGCATGCAAGTGCCTGGAATCCGCGAAAATAGATGCAATGGAAGTGGACTCTCCAAACTGTCAACTGCAGAGTCAATAATCTACTCCGATATTCCCAACCAAAAGACAACCACGAGCACACTGACGGAGTGACTATCATGACGTCCCCAAGACCATCAAAGGCTCTCATACAGTGGGAACCAATCTCCTCCAGGATCATAACAGCAAGGTTCAACTCAAAAGGAAGGAAAGTCACGATCATACAATGCTACGCACCTACAAATAATGCAGATCAAGAGAAGAAGGAGGAATTCTACAGACAACTGCAATCAACACTGGACAAGACCTCAGTTGGCGACATCAAAATTCTAATGGGCGACATGAATGCCAAATTCGGAGCGGACAACACAGGAAGAGAACTAATCATGGATCGAGAAGCGCTCGGCGAAATGAACGAGAATGGAGAACTGTTTGCAAAATTCTGTGCGTTCAACGATTTGGTGGTTGGAGGCACTGTGTTCAAGCACAAGGATATCCACAAAACGACATGGATTTCACCAGACACCAGGACACACTAAAAATCAGATCGGCTTTATCTCAATCTGAAGAAAGTGGAGACGCAGCCTACTTGACACAAGGTCAAGAAGAGGAGCAGATGTAGGCTCACACCACTCACTGTCTAGTGCAAGGAACCTACCTACCTTCAAAATCAAGTTGAAAGCCTTCAGAGAAGTTGGTGATAGACCACAGTTCAAGTTCAACACCTAGAACGGAAACTGAAGGACGAAACTACAGAGGATATCTTCACGTCAGCCATCAGGACAAAATGGGAGATATCGAGCAACATCCCCGAAGAAACCTGTGTGGATGAGCACTGGAACTCTTTGAAAGCTATGTGGAAAGAAACCTGCACAACCGTGTTAGGAAGGAAGAAGAAAGAAGACAAGGAATCGATCTCCACGGACACGTGGAAGCTGATGAAGCAGAAGACAAACCAGTGCAAGGATGCACAACGAAAAGAAGAACTGAGCACAACGTACAAAACACTGGACAAAGAAGTGAAGAGTGCGCACAAAGACAATAGACACTTCCACGACACACTGGCAAGTGAAGCAGAACAGGCTGCTACTAGGAGAGACCTGACAACATTGTATCAAATAACCAGGTTACTATCTCAGAGGGAAGAGATCAACTCAGACGAAACCAATGAAAGATAGTGAAGGGAACTTAGTCGCCACCAAAGAGGAGAAACAAAGGAAAAGATGGGCTGACCACTTCAAAAAGCTCTTGAATCGACCACCACCTACAACTCGTCCAGAAATACCACCAGCAACAGCAGAACTACCAGTGAACACAAGCCATCCGACAAAAGCAGAAGTCTTGAATGCCCCAAAACTGCTAAAATTCGGGAAAGCAGCAGGACCAGATGGGATCCCCCCAGAAGCACTGAAACAGATGCAGAGGCATCGGCAGCGGACATACTCACACCACTATTACAGAAGGTTTGGAAGGAAGGAAGGAAGGAAGGGAAGGTACTGCAGATTGGAAGAAGGGTTACCTTGTCAAACTTCCAAAGAAGGAAGACCTAAGTCTTGGCAAGAACTGGCGAAAAATATTAAGCCATTTCATCTTAGAGGGACAAAAGCATGTACTGGATTAAAAATTGCGACCGGAACAGGCTGTCTTCAGGAAGTACAAATCATGTGCGGATCTAATTGCAACGCTACGCATCATCATAGAACAAAGTGTAGAATGGCAGTCAACCCTCTACCTCAACTTCATCGACTTTGAAAAGGCCGTCGACAGCGTCGACCGAGAAGTAATTTGGTAGGCAGCTGCTTAAACACTACAGTTTCAGTGCCACAAATCTTTATCAACCTCATTCAACAGCTATATGTCGAGCTATATGCCAAGTGATCCACAATGGAAAGCTCAGTGATGCCTTTGAAGTGAAGACAAGAAAGAGTAAGACAAGGCTGCCTATCACCTATCATCTTCCTGATTGTGGTGGATTGGATCATGCAGCAAACTGTGAGGAGCGAGAAGACGGGCATATGCTGTTTGATGGATGAAAAGGCACTAGAAGACTTGAATTTCGCCGATGATGATTTATGTCTAATGTCGCACAAACTCGAGGATCTACAGGCAAAAACCAACAAGTTGACAGAACAGTCAGCAAAGCCGGGACTTCCTACAGATGAAGATACCCAACCAACAACAAGCACCAATCACCATCAGTGGCAGAAATCAAAAGGAAGTTGTCTCTTTCACCTACCTAGGCAGCACCGTTTCAACTACAGGCGGCACAGATGAGAATGTCAAAACCAGGATCGGAAAAGACAGCAAGAAAGGCCTTCAGTAATCTGAAATCATTGTGGAGAACTACTGCACTCAACATAAACAACAAGATCCGGATCTTCAACACTAAGTCAGTCAAGTCAGTGCTTCTATATGGTTCAGAAATTTGGCGCGTCACGAAAAACACTTCCAACAAACTACAGACATACATCAACAGCTGCCGCCCACACTCACTCGATACTGAAGATCAGATGGCCAGAAAGAATAAGCAACAAGGAACTCGCCCTGGCAACCCGCCAACCAAGAACCCATCGCCCAACAAATATGCAGAAGAAAGTGGAGATGAATTGCGTTGGGCATACACTGAGAAGGCCAATTAGGGACATCACGCGCCAGGCCAGGCCCTCGAGTAGAATCCAAAGGGGAAACGAGTTGGGCGTCAGAGGTGAGGGTGACATGGAGGCGATGGTGTGTGAGGAAGAAATGAAAGCTTGTGGGCAGTCGTGGAGCCAGGTTCAAAAGACTGCAGAGAACAGAGTGGAATGGCGACATGATACTGAAGCCCCATGTTCCACTAGGAACCCAAGGGAAAATTAATAATAATCAGAATAGTAAATGGTGTTAAGTTTACAACAACTATACAGTTGTTTACTCTACAGCTTTCGATCACGGAATACAGAATGAGGAAGATGATGTGAAACTATGTTTATTTTGGTTGTGTAATCCCGGCGTTAATATATTAGAATGAATAACGAAATAAACAATTATTGTGTATTATTCCTCAGTACACTGTTCACAAAAAATTTTCTGTTCGTCAAGGAAGAACTTTACTTCTGTTTACGGTAAATCGCAAAACATATAGGCTAAAAAATCTTTATAATAAAAGTTCACTACTCATTAGAAACAGAATTCCACTTACTTCCTTTTTCCTTTTGAAAAGGTAAGTGGTAAAGTGTTTGCGCAACTCAGTCGGTTTCTTACCATTTTTCGCACTACCACAATTCTCTTGTATAAGCCGTGGCACGTGGAAACCACCATTGCACATTGGTCCAGTACGTGTGCGTAGTTCTTGCTCCAATTCAGAGAGTGCTCTAGTCTGACGCATGTCTATAGTCAAATAGTTCAATTCTTGTGAAGAAATGTCATCAATAGCACCAACTTGCTTACAATTGCAATTGAGACATTCATTCTGAGAAGGATTTGAGCAGGAAGATATTGTACATGGGATGGACTGTTTTGAATGAAGACCGATCTTATTTTCACAACTGTCTGTAAGTTCACTTGACTTTTTATGATGGTGCATACCTATCATTAAACAACCATCTGAATTGTCAGACAGTGTAAGATGAGCGTAGTGCAGTTGTGTAATTTTAGAAGTAACGTTATTCGTTGCTGCTGCCAGTCTTGGTGGTGTCGGTGGTCTGTTAAGAAGAGAAGCCGACATGGTCGGTACAGCAGCTCGAACACGTGGTATTGAGAGACTTGTCGAGATACCTGGACGATGAAACCGTGATGAACCAGAATCTTGACAATCTTTTTGTGAACTAATAAGAGACAATAAGAAGAACTATATTAAACTGCAGCAAATTAAAGGCTAAGACAATATAATATAACATTCTGTGAAGTTTTCCGTAGGTAGATCACTAGATTTAAAAATTCAAGGAGAAAATCAAAGTGTAAGGTTAAACAAAAACGCTGCCACCATTATTGTTTCAAACTGTAAACACCAAGGTTTCTACAGCGTAACAGTCTGTTAATTTTGCAGTAGAACTTACCAGCGTAAATTAATTAGATCAGAAAACTTACCATAAATTCTGGGTGCTTCATCAATTATTTATACCATAGTTTTGTCATTGCGTCCTTCTTGACTAAACAGCTAGTTTTAAAGGTGGAGCTGTGTGTGGCTCATTGGTTTAAGCACTTAATTTCCAACCGATGGGTCAAGTGTCCGAACCCAGCTGCACCTACCACGGTTTAGACAGCCAGGTAGTATCATTAGTTCTTTTCCAAAAGGTGCGGATCGCTGCCAACTTCACGAATGTGCCCAAGGTTGCTGACTGGATTTCGACGTTTTTGCTGACTACTTTTAACTCCTACTGCATACCACATGATGATGCATATTCAATAGTGGATGAAAAATTGATTACATTCTAATTTTCTCCTGAGAAGAAGTTATATACTTCATGCAGTAAACGGAAGCACTCCACAAAGTTCTTATGATTCTCGTTGTATTATTCTTTGGTTTTCTCGTTTTAATTTCTTCCCAACTAACTTGGTAAATTCTGTTGGAATTATCTTCGTTAAATATACTGATTACATTTATATTAACTGATTGCTTTCTCTCATGACTTTTCTTCAGTAAATACATATTTAACAATAGTTTAATGATCTTACTCTTATTAACTCATCTGAATATGGAACTGTTAAAGTTAGTTTCAGATATGAATGTTTTCTAAACTGCATCAGCTCTATAACCCCTACATTATATACAATTGTATTACGGGAAATGCACTAAATATCATCTTTCTCGGCTGGTTTTCTTATCTCTTGACAATATCATGAGGTATTTTTCTCCAGATTTACTACCTAAAAAAGTTAACATGCTTCAGCACAACCCGAAATTGACTCTTCTGATTTGTTAATTCCCACATTCCTATCCACTCTCCTTTACCCAAATTGTCAAGAAATTACCAGTTAGTAGGCGCTTGGTAACTGTTAGTATAATTAGCAGTATACCTACGAGTCTATATTAAATGGATACGGTTACAGACAGTGTAGAGACAACAGAAAACTACTGAACACATACAAAACTTAAAATCTTTCAATCTTTATTTTTGCAACTTACCACTGAAAGTTAATAACAGTGTAAGAAAAAAAAAGAATTAAAGAACATGAATAAATTAAATCATAATCCTACATAAATTATCTGATTCGGTATATAACGAACTACAAAGTGATTACATGAGTTTCGTTCAGAAAGTTAATAACAGGAAGGCAATCAGACAATCAAGATTTGAATAAATATTTAGGTTATTTTATATAGGCTTACTGATAAGATCATTTGTAAATTTATATTTCTCAACCTTTACTGAATAGTGAGTACAACTCGCACGAACTCGAAAAACGATGCTGGTTTCTTTGTAAGTCAAGCATAGATCCATTTATTACACCAAATCGATCAGTGAGTGAATTTGGGTATTTGAAAAACATGAACTAACTAAATATGTCTCTTGAAAATCGTTTACACTAACAACGAGTATAAACTGGATAATCATTGAATACAGAACGCATACGACAGAATGTTCTTGATTCCATGTTTTAGGTTATTTTGAAATCAAAGGTGAAAATATTTCATGAATTGAGTGAATTTGAGGAATTCTAACTATCAGATAACTATGCATATAAAATGTGGTTCTCATGACATTCAAACTACTTCATACTTCACCTTTTCATGATATATCGATACTGAAGGATGGTCGAAAGTGAAATGAAAACCTGAATTGCAGCATGACTCTAACTAGAAACCTCTGAGTTACAGGCGCGATACTCTACCACTTGAGCTACGAGACTCAGTCACTGAACAGGTCATAACTCCACTTTGACCACTGAGGATTCTACCTGGCCTTCATATCAATGCCCCGGACAAAAAATGTTTCACTTTTAGATAACAACCTAACACTCCTTTCAGCTGAAACTCCTACGGTATCCTGAACCAGAACGGTAAGAAGATACGAACAAATTTCTCAAACTGACCAACTTTAAGTATTTCAAACAAACAAAATGACTAGATACACAAGCATCTACACATGAAATACATTGCATATTTCTCTATATATTTATGTCGAATAACGAATTTAAAGTGGATACATCTTAAACTCCTTGTTCGAATATGCTCTTACAACTTCATTTTCCCAGCAAAAAATAAAAATTCCCATACATTTAAGTACAGAAAACATTAATGATAAAAATGGTGCATACACTCTCACTCAGGACTACTACTTGAAGATGATATAGCAGTACAGAACACCTTTTTTCAACTAAATCTTCGATACATATGTGCCTATCATGGAAATATCTATGGGCTATCAACTCTGTTAACTGTCACTGGAAAACAAAACATTAAATGATCTCGAAATATCATTGAGATATTTAGTGGACATGCCACTAGAAAAGAAGGAATCAATGGTCAGGTAGGTGACCTATCAAGGAATTCATTCAAAGATAATTTTTTTTGTAAAGTGCCAGATGGAATACAACCAGAAAGACGCTGACCAAGTGAACCTATTCCACTGTTCATCACATTTACTCCTTTTTGCGGATTGTCCTCAAAAAGGAAGCCTTATTGATGTACAGGAAGATGTCTTCATATATTCGCAGTATTATACATGGAAACATTAAATAGAAAAATCAAAACTGAACTGAAATTTAACAATAAAAATTCAACAAAACAGTGGGAAGATAGAAGTTGTCTACACTGTGGAATGTATTTGCGCAACATATTTCGAACTTTCTGTTCACACACGTACCTATCGTAGATATTTATATGAAAATACCTAAGGATAAGGGGTGAGAATATGAAAAGAGGTCAAGTGGGAAGGTTGAATTAAAGGCCGAATAACAATGAAAACCAATAGAGCGAAAATAATAGCACATCGAACTTGGTTTCAGAGTTGAATTCACCAAGAGAGATTTAATGTGATGTAAATCGTTTTTGAACACAAACTCTTGCAGCATGTGAACGACAATCTCATATCCTATCGCATCTACCGATTCAGATGTATGCGGTGACACATAGATAGGGAGGACTTATAGACCCGTGTAAGTAAGGGCGTCGGAGCGTATTCCAAAGTGGCTTCAGATGCGAATTGAATCATCTGAACCTCTAAACGTTTGTAGCAGACGTCCAAGTTCTTGGATCGCGAAACATATCATTGAGACAGGTCACAAGATTGACGTTGCTATTTCCTTTAGACCTATTTACAAAACGTATTGGGGATAGAGGCCTTAGCTATTAGGGAGATTAAACCACCTTTGTGTGTTCAAAAACGATTTACATCACATTAAATCTCTCTTGGTGAATTCAACTCTGAAACCAAGTTCGATGTGCTATTATTTTCGCTCTATTGGTTTTCATTGTTATTCGGCCTTTAATTCAACCTTCCCACTTGACCTCTTTTCATATTCTCACCCCTTATCCTTAGGTATTTTCATATAAATATCTACGATAGGTACGTGTGTGAACAGAAAGTTCGAAATATGTTGCGCAAATACATTCCACAGTGCAGACAACTTACGTCTTCTTATTGTTTTGTTGAAGCTTATAAAGGAAACTAATTGTTTTAAATAAAAATCCAGTCAGATGGGGCTTGATAAAGTTGTAAATACGTAAATAAGAATAAGAATAAAAACGACAACTACCTCGATAATGGAACAGAGGATGGATGAACAGTAATAGGTTTTGGTTCAAAACCAGCCGGTGATAGATTCATGTAATAAACCGATGCTTCTGAATGGTTTAAAACAGTGAAACCAGTTTTCCGTAGACCCAACAAGTTCACATAACTCTCAGGATTACTCAACACGACATTTGTACCATCTAACAGTTTGGAACCATTTCCACCACCGTGTATATTGTCCTTTACTTCTTCGACATTCTGTCCTCTATTGCTGACATCATTTTTTTTAATAGAGTGTGTAGAAACATTTGAAGTCATAATAGATGAATGCGTTTCAGTTGACGGTTGCAACTCACTGTGAATTGCACTTGACAACATATTAACGTAGGGTCTATATGGAAGAAAGCGAGAGCAGTTTATGGATAGAATTATCATATAAATTGAATTTGTGGAGTGAAATAAGACGATATAGTAGAAAGACTGAGGAAATCTTATATAAATGAAATAGCTTAGCAGTAAGGCCTGTGACTGTAGCATTGGGTGACGCCGGTGTGAATCCCTAAAGGGACATCATTACCCTCGACATTGTAGATAAGTCTTGATGATGAGTACCAACAAACAAAACCCTAGGTCAAGCAAGGCTTCCTAAAAATTGTCTCCAACTGACTAAATTCCATTAAAGCGCACTACGACGGTGAGTATCGTATCTTGGTTAACACACTACAAAATGATGGATAGAATTTAGTCAATAAGGTGAAAATTATTTACCCTCCATTGACTAATCAATCAGTCTACGAACAACATTGATTCGATAAACAAATATTCAATCACCAATCCCTACTAATAACACTCGTGTTCACAACTACAAACCAAACCACCGTAAGTAGCTAAATATATCATAAACGACGAAGTTGAAGAGGAGTGTACACTAAATAAAATCATTCTGATAACATTGACGTACCACCCCATTGTACTGAAACGAAACCATCAGCATAAAAAGGTAATGGTCAACAAGAAAGTACTGTCATAGTCCAGTAGAAATAAGAACAAATGTACTCTTATCTTGAAGTATTACTTTGAACTTGGGAAAATGAAACATGCAGAACACTTAAATTTCTTACCTAACGAATGCAGAAAATTGAAAAGACTTCTCCCACAGCAAAACTGAATTACCTGAGTAATCTGAATCAGTCGGTTATTTATCCGAAAACGAATGTAATTGCGAGTAGCCGTAAGCAAAAAATCGGTGATATAATCGAACAGAAACTGTGACAATTGTCATCAATACGATTAATAGCGGCAACGACAAAAAAGCTCAGCAATAATTTACCAGGGGTCTTTTTACATTGGGACTTTATTTTCGTACTGCATATATATTTTCCGGATCAGCTGAGCAAGAATGCATCTGATTGTAGAAGAAAATGGTAAAGCGAATATCTTTACCTTTGAAGTCAACGGACGTTTAGTGACCTATTACAGTGTCTTTGTTGAATTGAAATCTTATGGTTTCTCAACTATTTACAGAAGGAACGTACAAAAAGAATGAATTAGCAACAAAAAGCAAATGAAAACAAAGAAAGAATGGTGACTAACAACTGTGAGAATATATTCATCAGCATGAAAGCATATTTTCTTCAACGCAACAATCCGTTAGTATTAAAATCAGACCTGTCCTTATTGGGAAACTATTCAAGATGCTACAAACCAACATCAAGATACGAAGCAAAAAGGAAAAGTCGAAGAGATGTGAATTATGTATCAGAAGTCGTAGAAAGGCATTAGACAAAAAATAAGTGGATATAGTAGGTGGCAAAATGTAATATAACGACTACAATGGAGATAAGTAGTAGGTACACGGATACCACAGCAATCGACTGTGAGTCACGTCATCTAGAGTTTCCGATCACACATACAATAACCTGGAATTCCATATTCCCCTATAAAACTTCATAAATTGGTGTCAACTGTTGGTCTGACCAACCTTAGCTCTCTTCAACATACGACTATTTAAGATAATATAGAGCATACGGATAAACGTTGACTACATATAGGTGACACATGTTCCATTCAACTCGTCCGATGAATGTTTATAACTTGATCAACGCAATAATAAGAAAGATGAAGCGTAACAAAGATCATGCGAAATAAACTCTGAAGACGCACTACTCTCTGATAAATAAAAGAGAGCTATTGTATTATAGAACTCATACTTACCCAGAGAGAACTGGTAACGGTTTGAGGAGTGATGTATTGCTTTCGAAAACTACTATGGAATCAGTAGAATCCAACTTAGATAAATCAAAATTACATCCATTTGTTGTTATAGGATTGTGAGTAGGTGCCATAGTTTTAACTGGGTTATTCGATGAGTTTTTCTGACCACGAAAGGTTGCATTACCATCTGTTTTCTCAACTGAACGTGTTCCTGAATGATTCGAAGTAGTGATTAAAGCATTAAGTCATATTTTCAACGAAACTAAGACTATCATCTAGTTGACAACTATGGTAAGGTCAACTCTTTTTCCAAGAAAGGGGTTAAAGTATATGACATGTTAAGATGAGATTAATAACTACTATTAGATATTGAGAAATCCTAAGGTTTTTAGAGAAATCAAACAAAAAGACGTGGACCTAAACAAATAATGTTTATCATCATGCAACAGGAATGCATACCTATAGCATCAACACGTTCCATGCTCTCTGTGTTTTGAAGTGAAGAAACTAGTCATTGTAATTCGGTTAGCATTCTTCCTGATTTACTGAAATGGCGGGGCATAGAAAAAAACCCTTCCAAAATATAAAAGCACCTCTATAATAACTGTAGGGTTATTTCAACAAGAAAACACATGCAGTTGTGTTGTAGTAGTGAATTAGTGTAAACTGTTTCTAGTATTTGCACACACCGCATATAGAAATGGAGCACATCAAAATGGGGAATATACTAGATGACAGAAATCAATGACTTCCGAAGAGTTACATAGAATATAACCCAATTCTAATGCCTTAAACACAGAAAGAAATTCATCACTAACTGTCGCTTACTTGTACTATAATATCAACAAATTCATTCCCAGCTGATGATAAGAACAGGAATACCAAATTTTAGGCCAATGGAATGTGATATATACAACACTGGATAACCTACGTTGTTCAAAATTAACATAATGCACTTCACTAAATATCCACAATGCCTCATATGGTTACTAGCATGTACTTCCAAATAGTTTGAACATCTTTTGAAGTTAGACAAAGCAACACTGAAAATCAGTCGTGGTGTTTGAATACAAAGCAGTCAACAGGATAATACACCTACTCAGAACCCCTTTCATTGAGACACTACCATAAAACCCGTCGACTGACGCAGACAAAAGCCAACTTCGAATCAAGAAACATGGTCAGTATCGGGCGTCAGTAACTGGGCCTATGTTTAAGAATCTGACAGAGGGTGAATGTCTATTCGACACATCTATGAAAAGGTCTGAAGCCGGCCTTGTTTTCTCGGACTCACTGTTACCAAGCTCAACCAAGATCTCTCATAATTACAGGAAATAGAATCTTAAACGCTAAGTATATCAGACTAGTTCCCCTGTGGTTATCACAAGAGGACTTCCCCCTTTTATCCAAGACTGGCATAACCAGTGACAGACGAGTCGGAGGGCATCATATCTGATTTCCATTCACAAGTCAACACCATCTAATTTAAACAATAATCCACGACCACCATCCTTAAATACCTCTTGTACTACTCCATCTGGTCCTGCTGCTCTTCCTCGCCTCAGAATGCCTGCAGCTTCCTCAACTTCTGCAAATGTTGATGGCTCTTTCTCGATATCTCATTCACGATCCGACTGGACAACAGGCAACGGAATAGTAACTGGAGGTCAGTTAAACTGTTCCTCGAAGTGTTCCACTCATCGTTCCTGTTGTCTGTCCTGCGAGTGAATCACAGACTTATCCTTCTCCATTATCGTCTCACCAGTCACTGACATATCTGCTCTCCGTCTACTTGATCAATCTAAACAACTGGCTACAATCACCTATCGCCACTGCTTTTCCCATCTCTTCAGCCTTCGTTACCCACCCACAATTGTTCGCTGTCATTGCCTAGACGTTTGACCAATCCACATAACTGTTGCTTCCACTCACTGTGTTGGAAGCCTGTCTGAGTGCGTTCGCGTGCGTCCACTAATCAAGACGAAGCAGTTGAGATCCATTGGCATCCTTTTCCACATTCTGAGAGTTGGTGATGGTCTTCAATGCTGTTTTTATAGTAGACTAGAGAGGGCACTAGATTTCGCCAAAGAAAGTAGCTATGTCATGTTACGCTAACTGTCTAAACTTTTCCAAAATAACCGCATCATAGAGTTGAGTTCACAACCGTCTACTGCAGTTGTCACACATCCATTTTAACGCAGCATGAAGAATGCACCGACGAGCATCTGATCCACTACACAAAAATGTGCAACAGAAGGAGTGGAGATCTTCCAACGATGACTGGTAGAAATACAGGTTTCCAATACAGACTGATGGTCACCAAATCACACAATATCTCTCCATTTCCATTTAAGAAATTCGTGCTAACCAGAAATAAGTCATCTTCTGAGCACAACTATGACAGACAGTCGCCATTGTAATTGAGATGAGTAAGGATTGCAAAATTACTACCTGAGTGACTTTCTGTTTGACTTAGCCTTCCTATTTGTATATCGAGATCACCCGCTACGATGACCCCATCCAAACGTCTGGCTTTCAATGGGAGGGTAGAAAGTTTACAGTAGAACTCACAATTCAGCTCATTCAAACTGCAATCAGTGGATGCAGATTTAGGATATTAGAAGGAGATAATGGCGAGCTTCACCACTATTCCTCTAAGTACTTAACACATCATTCAACTGAACAAAGCCTGGAAGACTGTAAACTGGGACCCAGTAGACGAGTGCAGTTTCTGCCTCAGGCTATAATGCTATGCTCACACCTGCGTCACTACAAGAATTGGCCGAGGAATCTACGGAAATTCCGATGGCGAATTTTGCAGATCCACTGCACATGTTAGGTAAGAGAATAAGCACATTCGGATTCTGCATTTGTGTCTCACGAACACTGAAAACGTCCATGGTTTGAGATGCCACAGTTTTGGTTACTAAGGCCTCACTTGAAGTATGATCTCAGGATACGAATTTGCTTGTAAGTGAGCTTCGATTGTTATCATAAGCTGCAGAGTTAAAAAATAAAGGTATTACAGAGTGCCAAGGAAAAGGGTAATCTTGTACCTCTTGTACTATTCCATCTGGTCCTGCTGCTCTTCCTCGCCTCAGAATGCCTGCAGCTTCCTCAACTTCTGCAAATGTTGATGGCTCTTTCTCGATATCTCATTCACGATCCGACTGGACAACAGGCAACGGAATAGTAACTGGAGGTCAGTTAAACTGTTCCTCGAAGTGTTCCACTCATCGTTCCTGTTGTCTGTCCTGCGAGTGAATCACAGACTTATCCTTCTCCATTATCGTCTCACCAGTCACTGACATATCTGCTCTCCGTCTACTTGATCAATCTAAACAACTGGCTACAATCACCTATCGCCACTGCTTTTCCCATCTCTTCAGCCTTCGTTACCCACCCACAATTGTTCGCTGTCATTGCCTAGACGTTTGACCAATCCACATAACTGTTGCTTCCACTCACTGTGTTGGAAGCCTGTCTGAGTGCGTTCGCGTGCGTCCACTAATCAAGACGAAGCAGTTGAGATCCATTGGCATCCTTTTCCACATTCTGAGAGTTGGTGATGGTCTTCAATGCTGTTTTTATAGTAGACTAGAGAGGGCACTAGATTTTGCCAAAGAAAGTAGCTATGTCATGTTACGCTAACTGTCTAAACTTTTCCAAAATAACCGCATCATAGAGTTGAGTTCACAACCGTCTACTGCAGTTGTCACACATCCATTTTAACGCAGCATGAAGAATGCACCGACGAGCATCTGATCCACTACACAAAAATGTGCAACAGAAGGAGTGGAGATCTTCCAACGATGACTGGTAGAAATACAGGTTTCCAATACAGACTGATGGTCACCAAATCACACAATATCTCTCCATTTCCATTTAAGAAATTCGTGCTAACCAGAAATAAGTCATCTTCTGAGCACAACTATGACAGACAGTCGCCATTGTAATTGAGATGAGTAAGGATTGCAAAATTACTACCTGAGTGACTTTCTGTTTGACTTAGCCTTCCTATTTGTATATCGAGATCACCCGCTACGATGACCCCATCCAAACGTCTGGCTTTCAATGGGAGGGTAGAAAGTTTACAGTAGAACTCACAATTCAGCTCATTCAAACTGCAATCAGTGGATGCAGATTTAGGATATTAGAAGGAGATAATGGCGAGCTTCACCACTATTCCTCTAAGTACTTAACACATCATTCAACTGAACAAAGCCTGGAAGACTGTAAACTGGGACCCAGTAGACGAGTGCAGTTTCTGCCTCAGGCTATAATGCTATGCTCACACCTGCGTCACTACAAGAATTGGCCGAGGAATCTACGGAAATTCCGATGGCGAATTTTGCAGATCCACTGCACATGTTAGGTAAGAGAATAAGCACATTCGGATTCTGCATTTGTGTCTCACGAACACTGAAAACGTCCATGGTTTGAGATGCCACAGTTTTGGTTACTAAGGCCTCACTTGAAGTATGATCTCAGGATACGAATTTGCTTGTAAGTGAGCTTCGATTGTTATCATAAGCTGCAGAGTTAAAAAATAAAGGTATTACAGAGTGCCAAGGAAAAGGGTAATCTTGTACCTCTTGTACTATTCCATCTGGTCCTGCTGCTCTTCCTCGCCTCAGAATGCCTGCAGCTTCCTCAACTTCTGCAAATGTTGATGGCTCTTTCTCGATATCTCATTCACGATCCGACTGGACAACAGGCAACGGAATAGTAACTGGAGGTCAGTTAAACTGTTCCTCGAAGTGTTCCACTCATCGTTCCTGTTGTCTGTCCTGCGAGTGAATCACAGACTTATCCTTCTCCATTATCGTCTCACCAGTCACTGACATATCTGCTCTCCGTCTACTTGATCAATCTAAACAACTGGCTACAATCACCTATCGCCACTGCTTTTCCCATCTCTTCAGCCTTCGTTACCCACCCACAATTGTTCGCTGTCATTGCCTAGACGTTTGACCAATCCACATAACTGTTGCTTCCACTCACTGTGTTGGAAGCCTGTCTGAGTGCGTTCGCGTGCGTCCACTAATCAAGACGAAGCAGTTGAGATCCATTGGCATCCTTTTCCACATTCTGAGAGTTGGTGATGGTCTTTAACGCTGTTTCTACAGCAGACTGGAGATGGTACCAGACTTCTTCACGATGAGTGACGTTGTTCTTTTTCAATAACTGTCTTACCAGTTTCTTGCCGAATACAACCCTACTGTCCTCATTGTTCAGCGGCACTTGCATTGGTCTTGTTGCTATATTTTTACTACGCACATTTCGGCGGAGACGAGCACCTAGTCGAACCAACTCCTGGCCGCTTTTCAAGCACTTTCTTTCGATGGAATGTCAATCTTCCTCCAACCCTCTCCATTGATAACTGATAATAATATGGTCTACCTAATGTCCACAGAGAAGTTGAGGTCGGTGAATGTCACGTCAAACAACATCTGAAGTTCGTGCTGGTCAGCAACAGGACGAAAATCAACTACCTAAACCAACAAGCCATAGCTCCATAGCTAAGATATAGATGGTTGTTTAAACATAGTTGCAGAAGACGATTCCGAAAGTGCCACTTAAGAATGGCCTTTCTGTCTGACTAAGCCTACCCACCTTGTGCATTGAAACCATATGATACAGAAACCACGTCCGAACATTCGGCTTTCAGTAGGAGGCTAGATAGTTTTCAGTAGAACTAAACTTATCCTTCCCTTCGTTCCAGATGCAGTCAGTGGTTGCGTGAGCAGAGATTACAAAGAGAACAACGGCGAGTTTCACTATTCTTTTGAGTCCTTGTGCTGTTCAGTCGAACAGCCCCAGGGGGACTGTCAACTGGGATCAAGTAGAATAGTCTACTTCCTAACTTAGCACCAAATGTTATACCTACATCTGCGACACCACGAGAACTGCCTTCAAATCTCCAGAAACTCGAATTTCGCAGATTTACCATATTGACTGAATGAGGTTAAGTGGATAGCCATACTTCGGTCCTATATGCGCGTCTCATAAATACACCCATGACCTGAGATACTATACTTTTGTCTAGTGCTGGTCAATTTGATAGAGCGTATGAATATTTAAATTGCAAGTATGCAGTTTGGAGAGAGTTTTCAGAAGGCTTGGTGAATCACCAGTACATCTGTCGTGCCTAACCGTAGAAGGCGTACATCTCGTGTCTCTGTAAATGACACAGGTCTTGAAAAATACGGATTTACTGTCTTGACAAAGGCGCTGGCATTGTTCGCATGGGTCATCTGGACTGTAACGCTGAAATAACCTCCATCCTATCACATGAGTAAATTTCTAACAGTTTGCTCAAAAAGATGCTACTGAGCAAATCGAACAAAAGGTTATTCAGATCCTTCAGAAAGTGAAAAATGAGTCATTCATCAGCTGCAAACTATTTGAGTAAATTCGACAATCTGGTTTCCTCACTTCTCGCTTATCTGGTCTCCCGGATGTATAAAGGGGAAATCTTCCTCAATGTCTCATTTAGAATATGAACAATTCGCCATACCATGATATCGCCAAATGACTGTTTCACTGTCCATCAACCAGTCAGAAAACAGTTAGTTGAAAATGCACAATGTAATGAATTCTATAGACTTTTTTAACTCAACTAATAGTGTCAATGTATCTCTAGATATGGTGTCACTTGACCAATGTCCCCTCTCACATAAACTATTTTCCTTCTGTACAATTTCACTGAACATAATAATTTTGATGTGGTTATCTAAATGCACTACTTAACAGAATTACTTCTAGGGTGTGCATTCAACGTTAAATTTGTATTCAATGACGAACTGTACAGACAAAAGGATGGGGTCGCTATGGGGTTAACACATGGATCGCTACTGATAAACCCAGAGAATAGCGTGCTCCAGCTAACAATTCATGATTTCTACCTATTTAAAAGATTCGTGGCAAATAATGGTACATTTATCATAGGTGATAAAAAAAAGATATTGTGACTACAGTGGAAAAGTTTAATCATTGTCATCGGTCAACTTCAGATCAGGATTTGAAGAGAAGCCACAATTTCATTTTTTGGATATCTTATTGAAACGGGGACAACATGGTTCCCTTCAGAAATTGATTTATAAGAAGCCAACATGAAATGGACAATACACAGATTCCCATAGCTGTACGCTGCTCATCAGGAAGAGAAATATGACTCATTTTTATCAAGGAAGAGAAAAATCTGCACCAGTGATACTATCGACAGTGTTGAGGACAAACTAAAGCAAATTCTCATACAAAATGGATACGCATCCAGATTTGAGGAGAAAAATCTTGAAAATGAAACAAACTGCAGAGCAGGTACTCACAGTTCTAAAGAGGACTTTACTCAAAAATGTTGGTTTCAAAGGTGATACGGCAGCAGAGATCCTGAAAAATCGGCTGTTCAAATCGCTGGAGAAGATATTCTTCTCTACCAAACTACAGACTAGCGAATGATTCCGGGGTGCGTTAAGAACAAGCTACCACTTTGAACCCCTTAAATGTGTGTGTACAAGTTTACTTCCTCCTATGGAGCTAGTTACATAAGCCACACAAAGAGCGCACTTTCCAAACGTATCTCTTAGCACTATTCTGAATGATCGTCGAAGGGAGAATGGAAGTCAATTAACAGTTCAATTCTTGAATATTTGGTCAACTCTCGACATATCGCTCAACTAAAGTCCCCTTTGAGTATCATCAAAGAACACAGTTCAAAAGGAGTACGCTCTCGACAGTTGTGGATAGCAAAAGCACTGGCAATTCACTGATTCAAACCTGATCTGCATGCAGAAGAAGTATGTTGAATTTCTTACCTTACCATGGTCCTCCACACTTTTTTCCTTTTCTTTTTCGAATTCATTGTATTTAACTAGTTTACTACTATCATATTCACTATAACACTTGTTTCTTTTTTCGCCTTCTTTACATCGACACTTAAACATTTCATCCTCACCTTGTCAAACTCCTTACCTTTCTCGTTATCTGCATTGTCAAATAGATTATTACGCAACACCTACCCAGTCTTGATTTCAGTTTTAACATTAGCTTAATGATACAACCACATCCTAATGCTAATAATAGACTCTTATATGTATGGGGTGTAAATAAATACTGTTGTACCGCTTTAGCAAATGATATCTTCGAAAAACAATATATTCTTCGCTGAATTACCTCTCCTCTTTACGATTCAAAGGGTATATTTCATCTAGTTTTTTGTTTTGATTCCAGCTATGAATCCATACTACCCACACCGGAACACTATGGGGTAGGAGGAATGTACTAATAATGAGGGCGACTTTTTCTAACCTCCCTTCCCCATAGGGAAGGGTAGCATCAGCATGCACTGTAGGTCGTCCATGGGAGGAGTTTTACTACTGTCACACCCCTATCCAGTCAACAGTACGACTTTGTTCTCATAGTGCAATCATATTGTAGCAATCTACACCATAACGATAACTGCTTTTTGTCCAACCACTACCCAACTGACCTTTATGGTATGGTAGGAGATCGAGAGAGCAAACGTTTTACCAGTATAGCTCGGTGAGTCATTGTGATATGCACGCTCGACCATCAGGTCAATGTAGCAACTGTCACTTGAGATATACATTAAAACAGTTATAGTATACAAACAATCGTTTTTGACAACCAGTTGTCTACATTTGAAGTACATAATTAGAGGAAGTTTAAATAGTAAAGCACTTAATCATATAAGATGAGAACACCTACTCACCAGATTCATTTGAGTAATTCCCCAAACGAGAAGATAAGTTATTTGATGAATGAAGCCGAGAATCATTGTCAAAATCTTCTCCATGATTAAGTTCTGAGACAGAAAAAAGACGTTGTTGCTGATCACCACAAAGAGCTTGAATCTCTTCTCTAGAAACGTAAAACTTGCCAGTTTTCGGCTTAGCATAAGTAGGTGCATCCGCCCATAGCGGTATAGCAGAGGATGATAAAGAGACTAACGAAGACTTAATACTTCCTCTCCCATTCATTGAAAAGTATGTGGATGGGGAACAAGGAGAGCTATGAGAACCAATAAACCTTTGATGGGTAGATGTCGTACTTTCGTATATACTAGCAGCATGCTGGCATGTCCTAGTACGTTGGCTCCCTGGAATAACTGTTGCTGTTGGTATTGACGAAATATAAAGATACCCAGGATTCTCGCCACTGGATTGGCATTGACTTACTGCAGTTTGACGTTTATTATCAAGAAGGATGTTGCTCAGTACGTGACCAGCAGTGATATTTGCTACAAAATATACGAAAATAAACATTTTCGTAAAAAAGAATGATATAAAATCTAAGCTTATAGGAATTACATTTTAGTGGTGCATGTGATAGGATACACTGTAAATCCGTTCAAATTAGAAAAAGTGACTATCTTCATAAGTGTATATTCAGACAGATGAACTAAAAGAAGAAATAGCTTGGTGACTAATCATAGCGAGAAAGCAAAGTGTGCAAGTAAAATTATTTGTTTTCAAATACAAGTGAAGAATAATATTGTTTTAGGTATATCCAGTCAAAGTTGTACCAACTGAGAGAGTGTGCATTTAATCTTTGTTTATGGCTAAATATATAAACAAACACGTAAATCTCCGTCTATTTACATTGAGAAACACCATGTTTTCACTGTTTCATGTATTTGTATTAACCCCGTTTACTTTTTTGGCATCTGATACACATGATACCTGGCCCAAAACCAAGATGGTGGGGTGAATAGCAAATAATTGCATTATTAAAAGTAACGAGATGTCAAAGTAAATTTAACACAAAAGATTTACCAGATACATGGTCTTCAAGTAGATTAATACTGAAAGAAAGTGCTGAACACTTCTATAATAAGAAAAGAATGACACTTGACGATACTACAGTTAGTAACTGTATCGGCAACACTCTTGTCGACCGATTTTATAAGTGAGCTACACTGAAGATGGGGTTTAGAGGCATACGTAAACGTCTAGCTACGGAAATTCTAGATCAGCGAAGACCAATACAGTATTAGACCGTTCAAAACATTCATCAAAACACCAAAATCGATTCTTCTGATTCATGAAACAATAATTAGGGTATGTGAGCTAAGTAATGCGAGAAAATATTAGTTAATTTAGTTCACTTAGCTCACACTCAAAATGTGTATAACGTACAGTCGAAATACAACACAATAAGCCAAAATATTAGCGAAAGCACGAAAACGTTATTGGCAACAAAAAGAGTAGATTACCTGATACATCTGTACTGCCGGTTGGTGTTGGACTGATAGTGGACCAGCTACTTGGAAGGCGCTTACGTCGACGAGTATCCTGAGAAGCTACATTTATACCAGGATGAATAACTGAACTGGTTGATGGATAATCAATATTTTGCTCACATATGGGTTGTGTTGCATTTGAGTGTATGTGAGGATTATAAACAGATACAGGTTCTGTTTTTTCTGCATAAAAGTTACTATCTAGCAACTCATTGATGCCTTCATGTGTAAGGTCAGAGGATAATTTTAAGCAGGGGGAATCAGCTGCGCTAGACTCCAACGATTGGTTCTGACTTGAGATCAGATCACATTGAGTTGCACCACACAAAGTAGTTGACTGTGTTTGACTTCTTTCTTGTGTACAGCTATTCGATACAAGAGCACAATTACAGTTATTACTGATACTGAGCTTGTCTAGACGACTAAGACAAGCATTTTGATCACCGTCAAGATTTCTACTAAACAACTGGTTACCGTTTGAATTGCGAGAATCAGAAGAACAAGACGGATGAAAATTACACATACAGGATTCATTCATGGAGAAAAATGAACAGTTAGGTCGATGCAGAAGTTCTTCTAACTTTTGGATGTCCAATGGTTGTGATGGTAAAGTCACTAAAAAAGGTTCTGACCTGAAAAGAGAAAAAACATTTGCATGTTCACACTGCCAAGATAAATTCCTACTTCTTAATACACTTCCATAATACTTGTATTAAATCATGAAGTCATTGAAGTAAATACTTCATAACGCAGTCTGGTCAAAAGAGAATTAGAAAATTTAGTAAAACAAACAATGTGAGTGAAGAAGTATCTCTTTCCAATTAGTTCCTCATCAATGGCTCTACACTAATATAGCATTTTCAAAACGTAAAATTACATACCAATCTAGTGGTGAGAGTTGTTTAATGAAAGGTTATCAATCTCAAAGTATCAAAAAGGTGATAATTAATCAGGTAATTGATACAATTAACTGAAGCATAGATTAATTATAGTAGAAAGATTTTGTGAAATTTTAAACAGGTTTTCACATAATTGATATTTTGTACAATGGTAGCTAAAGAGCGAAAATGAACTGTTACATAAAGTGGTAAATTGTTGACGGTAATTAGAGACAGTAGGGGGAGAAGAAGATGGCTAAAACTGTAACAATAATAATAATAGAGTTATTAAAATATTAGTTATAATCAATTGTGGGATGAATGAAATGAAGGGTCTTGCTGTGATAAATAAGCTATACAGATGATCAAGGCAAAGAAAGAGGCTGTACGAATTTCTTCTGAACACACAGACTTGGTTTGTTTAGGTGGATTCCTATGGCTTCTGCTGTATGTAAAAGATGAACTTGTAGAGCTTGGGTGAGGTTAAAAGGAATGTGATAAACAACTTCAAAGGCATTATGAATGTTAACTCAGTTGAGAAACCAATAGAATATAACTACTCTGTAGCGTAACAAATAGCTTCCTGATTATTTTTCTTTGAAAGCTTCATACTTACATAAGGCCTGGAGTACTCCCCGGGCAGCAAAACCAATGAAGTCCGATTTCTAAGGAAACCAACCCCCCTTAAGTTTGATTCACAAATCGCTGAAGTAATGCCAGAAGCTATATTTTCGGGGAAATAGGCGTCATAAACAAACGTATACGCTGTTTATTACTGGCTATGAAATGAATTTCCAAATTTCAAATGTATGTATCCACCGTATCCACCAGGGCGACTTAGGCATAGAATATTCACTTTCAATCTTTCGATTTGTAGATACAGCCCCACCAAAACAAAGTAGTGGGCGAGAATTTCCCAGCAGAGGTTATAAAAGCGCAAACATTTGAAGGAATTTCAGGAAGAATAAACACTAGACAATCTCAGCCACATCACAGGACCTAATAACTATGATGATCATGACTACAGTAACGATATGAATAATTGTAGAACTTTAATCAAAAGTGAATTCAATAATGTACATACATATTTTTCGATACAATATTATTTCATACAGTTGAAGGACTAAACGATAAATTTTATTTTTCACTATAACGACTCATCAAATTTCCAATAGATCAGAATGCCCACATTTAAGTATAAGTCATATTTTTTGTGTGTGATAGTCAATGAAACTAGCTAGTTGTAGGCGGACAGGCATGAATAACTCGAGGCCTGGAACATCTGTCCAACAGTTCAAGTAGTATACTGAGACAACAGAGAGAAGTTTAAAAAGTCGGTAATTGCAAAAGAAAACAATACGAAATGAAGTAAGAATAATAAAAACATACTGATAAAATCATCAAGATTCTGACGAATAAAAATCTCCACCTCCGTGATCATCTTTGAACTATTATTAGGTCACAAATAGTCTTTTTCAAGTTTTCCGGAGGATCGAAACCAAAAAATGCATATCTTCCGACATGATTCAGAAAAATAAACAGGTTTTCTGGGTTGATGTTACACCCTTCGTTTTCTCAAAACCTAATTTTACTTTACTACCACTGGATACTCAATACATCCCAGCAATTTGAACAGATTAAATCTCAACAACTCATGAGCTTGTTATATCGAATAAATGATAGGAAACGTGAATCACAGCTAAGTATTATCGGTCACACTATTTTATAAGACATTTTACTTATGACTGCTTTGGTAACACCATTGCATAGCTTGGTTGAACAGCCTCCGACTGACAATTCATCCATATCTGCATAACTTATAGTTTTGAAATAATTTCAGTGAAATTGAGTGGAGTCAATTGTGTATTATCTCATTTTTTGTGCACGAAATTGGTTATTTCACTTTCATAAATTATGCTTCGTGGTCATGTCATTTCGTTGCATACATACGAATTTAATCAAAATGCACTCAACAATCTTTCGAAGCAATTTCATGCCTTAGGTAAAGCCTAGTATGCGAGGGCTAATGAGACAGATGATTCAGTCTACCCAAAAGGTAAACAGACAATAAGCAGCAGACTTTGAGTTCTGTCTACGAGGTTGCGCGTGAAAATTAGTCACAATGATGCAGATAGATTCACTCTTTGACATCTTCCAAACTTGAATGTTTTGACTTATCTCCCTTTTTAAATTTCCTCTTCTCTCATACACCTTTGTTTACTTTGGTATGTCCTTCTAAAGCCTCTTGTTCTTTGTATGCTACTGTGAAGTATGAGAGCTTGAACCGATGACCTTATGTGCAAGACTCCACGCTGATTATGCTTATCTGCACTAGGTCACGTGACTCAAGTGTGGGTGGATTGAGATATGGGAGGCGAATTCGATACTACACAAGTGTGAGATCAGCGTTAAGACTGAATTGGCAGAACCACGCTTCAGTCAATTACTACTAAGTAAAGTCAAAACACAAATAAATCTCCTTCTTTACCGTAAAATGCATCTAAACTCCATATTGCTTATACAATTACCAGGCTAAACTCCAGTGAAGGCAACAGTGGGCATATACCTGGGATCTTATCAATTCCTCGATATTCAATGGTCATGTTTCATAGCCACATGATATTTGACCACAGTGCACTACTTTGGAGTACATTTGATGATGACCAGTACGCAATCCGGTACCTCGTCGGTACCATGAGTGGTGTGAATCGATAAATGTATATTCTAAGTATTTTTGTTCGTCTACTACATCATGAGTATTTATTTTCTACCAAACTTTATTTCAAATGCATACTTTTCGTTACACGCAAAACTAGAGCTAAGTACCATAAAACGTATGAAAAAAATCACGTTGTGACTCCTTTAGAAATAAAAGAACGGCATTGACGTATGTGCAGTACTCATAGTATTTTAGTGACTCTAATTTGGCAGCTGCTTAAACACTACAGTTTCAGTGCCACAAATCTTTATCAACCTCATTCAACAGCTATATGTCGAGCTATATGCCAAGTGATCCACAATGGAAAGCTCAGTGATGCCTTTGAAGTGAAGACAAGAAAGAGTAAGACAAGGCTGCCTATCACCTATCATCTTCCTGATTGTGGTGGATTGGATCATGCAGCAAACTGTGAGGAGCGAGAAGACGGGCATATGCTGTTTGATGAATGAAAAGGCACTAGAAGACTTGAATTTCGCCGATGATGATTTATGTCTAATGTCGCACAAACTCGAGGATCTACAGGCAAAAACCAACAAGTTGACAGAACAGTCAGCAAAGCCGGGACTTCCTACAGATGAAGATACCCAACCAACAACAAGCACCAATCACCATCAGTGGCAGAAATCAAAAGGAAGTTGTCTCTTTCACCTACCTAGGCAGCATCGTTTCAACTACAGGCGGCACAGATGAGAATGTCAAAACCAGGATCGGAAAAGACAGCAAGAAAGGCCTTCAGTAATCTGAAATCATTGTGGAGAACTACTGCACTCAACATAAACAACAAGATCCGGATCTTCAACACTAAGTCAGTCAAGTCAGTGCTTCTATATGGTTCAGAAATTTGGCGCGTCACGAAAAACACTTCCAACAAACTACAGACATACATCAACAGCTGCCGCCCACACTCACTCGATACTGAAGATCAGATGGCCAGAAAGAATAAGCAACAAGGAACTCGCCCTGGCAACCCGCCAACCAAGAACCCATCGCCCAACAAATATGCAGAAGAAAGTGGAGATGAATTGCGTTGGGCATACACTGAGAAGGCCAATTAGGGACATCACGCGCCAGGCCAGGCCCTCGAGTAGAATCCAAAGGGGAAACGAGTTGGGCGTCAGAGGTGAGGGTGACATGGAGGCGATGGTGTGTGAGGAAGAAATGAAAGCTTGTGGGCAGTCGTGGAGCCAGGTTCAAAAGACTGCAGAGAACAGAGTGGAATGGCGACATGATACTGAAGCCCCATGTTCCACTAGGAACCCAAAGGAAAACTAATAATAGTAATCAATGTCACAATTGGAAATCGATAATAAGTCAAAACCATGTAATGTTTATCTTGCTGAGAACTTGGACGCCTCGCTTTTTGTTTGTTTGTCATATTTTCTTTTTCATTCTTTTTGTTCGTTAAAACATCTTTTTACCTTTTAAAATACCTCAATCTGCTGGAACGAAACTGTAGTTTGTTGGCTTAAGCAGATAGCTTTGAACTACTAGGCTAGGGGTTTAAATCCTGCTTCATTTACCAAAGTTGGGCTGGTAAAAACTAACGCAAGGCTTCACTTAAAACACTTGGTTCACTATATAGCACGCTAAATATCTGTGTCACTAGTGTATATGTTGCTCTCGCACTTTCATGTGAGGTTCTTGTTGCAACGCCAAACAAACTGATACAACTTGGTATCGCGTATTTGAACTGATAACTCCAAAACATATGCTCCTGAAACTAACATGTGATTCTGAACCTCGATAAACCTTACTATTTGAATCTCGCTGCATTTTCTCAAAGTGACTCAAAAGTGCACTTTAATAACTACTGAAGTAAACAAACAGGTTTCGTTATTTTACGAAAAAACTACTTTTCTAGCCGAAATAGGGGGAAAATTAACAACCAACCATTTAGCGAAAAAAATTTACTTTTCGACAAATCATCTTCAAAAGTTGTACAGTCGTAATCATTATTGCAACGAAATATATATCCATTATTAAAAGCTCCATGAGAGTCTTTTTTCAAAGTCACTTATAAAGTGAAATCAAAAATCCCGATGCGAGTGCGTATCCACCGATTCAACATAGCGGAGGCTTAGGGAATCCAGCGGTACAAGCTTGACCATTGCGTTCAAAAGAGATACATACAATCACCAATTTTCCCTTGGTTGCATCTACCTAAGACATTTTATTCATCTCTTTGTTTACTGTTTGTTTATTTATTGTAATCGTATAAGCAGATATTGATGACCTTGAACTGATCAAGTTGTTATCACCTTGTGACTTTAGTGAACACTTTTGATAGCTTTATACTGACCTATTAGCTATTGATGGATACACATTTTATTGTAACTTTGATTATGAATATGCAGCTTTTGAAAATGGTTCACCGCTGAATTGTCTTTTATTAGTTTTTCATTATCACATGGGACAATTTTGATGTCTGAGATAGAAGAACATAATTGGTTAGATATGCAGGTACTAGGATGAAAAAAATGTTATCACTCTACTTTTTTGAAGCTTCATCAGACTATTAACTCACCGTCTCCAGTTACAAGGACCGTATTTCCATTGACAGTCGGCGTGATTGAAGCATGGATATGATTTAGGAACGTCATTCACCTATCGATATCAAAAGTAGTACAACATGAGATGAAAGCCAGTTTCTGAGACTATGACAACAATATATGACACAACAGCATATGATAAAGGAAGAACGGCAGACACAAAAACAGATGAGGAAACTTGCACACAAATGATCGGTCAGTTCAATTATCTACACCTCACCACAGCATACACTGCACAGAAAAACAATGATATCAGTACATTGAATATTCCCATTCATACATTTAGCAGAAAAAAACTTATTCAGAGAAGAAATATATTCCTTTTCAATTAAGTTTTAGTGTAGAGCCAAAGACGAAGACCAAACTGAAAAGGAATACGTTTCTTCGCTCAATCTGACTTTTTTCGAAATAATAGCAGTATCAAAAAATTGTGTAACAGGAAGGAAATAACAATTAGGCTATATAAACTACATAGATATTTTAAGATCATAAGCCACCGAAAATTTCCGATCACCATTTCTTACTGTCTTGAGAAACCCAAGCATGCGGTGCATATTTTCAGGAGATGGAGGGCAGCACGCCTTGTGCACTGATAAGCACAGGCGTGAACTACACAACCACATAAGTTCTATTACCAAGAATTCAGTGAAATCGACTGTGTTGTGGCAGTGTTTGACTGTTAAACGAGTACCAAGCAACTATACGGTTTTTTGAACGCTTAGAAGCAGAATTCTGAGTATGTTTGGCATGCATCTTGCTAGTATCTTTCAAATGTAAGATGACACTCCTCAACTGGGCTGAAAATACTTCCAGTTTAATGATAGGAAGCGAATTGGTAGAATGCGTCAAACACTCTACTTTCATTCAGAGTTTTATCAGCATGAACAGGCTGCTGGCTGACGAAATCTCAGCTCGGATACAGAAGGTCCGTTGGCATTTACCAGTTCTCATCATCTTTGGTATTTCCAAGATACCAGAATACCTATTGAAGAACAAGTATACTACGTTACAGTCCATTCTGCCGTTATACGGCTGAGACATGGCCGTTAAAAGGAGAGGACAGGAAGCGGTTACTGAGTTTTGATCACAGATGTCTTAGTAGCATTGCTCGCGTTTGGTGGAATCATCGCGTGAGCAAGGTTGAGGTCAGGCGAAAGTTACTAGGTAAGACAAACAAGTCGATTGATGAGGTTGTGAACCTTAGTCAATTGAGATGACTGGGATATGTACTTCGCACCCGAGCCACCACCTACCTTGATGTGTCATGTTATTGGAAGGTGGATTAGGTTGGAAGAGGGTTCAGGGTGGTCAGATCAAGACATATCACCAATCCATGAAATCTCTGACTCCTGGTCTGAGCCTTGTAGACTGTCCGTCTGGGGTCACTGAGACAATAGGAACCAATGGTTGAAGGCTCTTGGCAAAATATTTGAAGACTAGTCACAAAGGCACAGATGTAATCAATATTTGAAGTCTTCTGAACGCTGAACATTTTAACTGACCCTGGCTTCCAAATCCCTTCTCCTCCCTTATAGACTCGTCCATTTTGATATCAGTCTTTTTCTGTTCAATTGTTCTTTGAATGTTACTGTGAAATATATGACAACTTGAACCGATGCACTTCTGTGTGACGTTCTTCGTCGATTTCGTCTGTCTCTGTTGAATATACTATACATTTTTACCTTCGCACCCAACAAGCTGTATTTGTAAGCCAACTCCATTGCCTATCCACTTTCTATTCGACTTACACGTTCTCTGCATTTTTTTACGGGCCTTAATCGATTACGCTTATCTGGTTTTTGCAATTGTAACCTTTGTTCTGATTGGCTGACCTAATCTCTCAGATTTTTGCTGTATGTAAACTGGTCTTAGCCATTTTGGTTGGTTTGTTTACTGAAAAATTGAGTCTTGATTTTCCTTATGGAAGCGTCACTTTGACAGGAGTCCGGTAATCGCAGTTTTACATTCAGGAGTTTATCTGTTCCATGAATGGGGTAAATGCCATGGACATGCATGAAAAAAAACTACACTCTGGTTACTGGGGAACAGGAGGAACTATCGAAACATTCCACATTATGTTCATATCCACTGAACTGTTGTGAAGCTAACACAGATGTTTACATGCAAAACTGACTGCCTGAAAAGCATACACCGGACAAACAAGAACACTGAAATACAATCGTAATTTTTGTCTGTAAGCTGTAAATATACAGCTCTATTTTGAACGAGATTCACAATCCAAGATATCATGTGTTAACCGCAATACTGATTCAAAAAAATAACCTTACAACTTAACTACCCAGGTGTCTAAAGTGTCCAGACTTCAGTATGAAAACAAATGTGGAACATACAAATTGGGAGAGAAATCTGAGTGATCCAGTGTTAAATTAGGAAAGCAGCAGTTATTTTACTATTTATATCCTCCATAATTAATTTACTCAAAGAAATGACTAGAGCAAACTTCTTCCAGACATATTAACAACACATTCAGGAATTCTCTCTAAAATAAATACTACTGTTTCGACATTACCGACATTGCGAATATACGGAATGAGAGACAGAAAAAAGTTTAAGCTTCCATTTTCGTACACATCAAGCAAATACATGAACATTTCAAGTACTGGCGTAAGATAAACAACGATGAAAAAGTTCATCCTGTACAAATATTTTGCAATCATACACTATGGTTGATTATTTATCATAGCAATAACAATATTAAGTGTATGATTATTTCTGTTCAAATCACATGACTAGTTCATGTTCTACTCACCTACTTTCGAAAACAATGAAACACAACAATGCACCAAAAAATCATTCGCAAATTACGATAACGAAAGTTACGTGTACAAACAGTTGTCAGAAGATTAATTCTTCACTCGATAATGCTGATAATCATAAGACCCTTAAGATACTTGGAATACTACCGCCTGAGTTCATCACATCAATTGATATTCATCAATAATAGTTTCCTGCGATCTTTTACCGTTATCCTGAGTGCAAGCTTCACTTATTCGAATGCCTGGGAGCGGTTTCCCTCTTGATATCCTATGACTAATTTGAAGTGCACAAATATCATAGCTGCTATAATGGTTACCATTCTAAATTTCTTGAACAACTCCTTCGAGATGTTGGCTCATTGGGTTTTAGCTTAAACGGGTGCTAATTATAAGTTAAAGTTAGCGAGTGTTTAACAGCGTACTTTTCTAGTCACTTTCATCATTCATTCATAGTGAAAAGACATAAGACAGATACGACGGAAATAATGCTTGTTATCAACAATTGAAACGGTATTCCCCACATATGGTACACCTGGCACTAAACCCATCATTTGCAAAATGTGCTTCGTTTCCTCTTCTATCTCTCTCGATTTGCTCTTCATACATTCTTATCAGCAGCATCCACTGTAATACGCCTACGTTATCCCTTGGGTTGCTCTTGGCAGAATCCTTACCCATTGCTGGTAACTCCCTATGATTCCTGCCATCCTCTCAACACATACTACTTATATCCATTCTTATCAGCAACGCCGACAATAATATGACGCTCGTGACCTTTAAAAGCATGCGTTGATAAATTATAAGTGAACAGTTATGTCGGAGTATTAGCTTACTGAATCATATAATCACTACTAGCCTTCGTCAGCATATCAAGGTTGTGCACAATCGAGTTTAATAGATGTAGAAAGAAAGATAAATTATGTACATAACATCGGAGTAATCAGATGGTAAGACCTGCCCTACGACACCACATATAGTCTAGACAGTAGAGTCATGTAGATGAATCATCAGTCTATGGATATGAAATGTGGGGAAGCACATCAGTGTGAACAGTGAGACGTTTTTGTTGGTTGGTGGACTAGTGTTAATAATAATAATAAGTGATAAAATTATGGGAAAGGACCTGGATATTTGTAAAAGTACTTAACTGATACGAGTGACCGTACTATGGACGCAGTATAAACATTAGACCGTAAGCAATCGACAAGACAGATAAACATATTGACTCAAGTTCGTAGGACAAAAACAGATTTGCAGATACATCTTGCTGAGGAGTGCCAACAAGCACGAGACCGAGGTCCACAGCCTCCTACCGATTACCTCCAACCAACTAACATCCATCAAAATGCACCGAGATGGTGAGCCTCCTACCCTGATGGACACATTGCGAAATGATCCATAGAGTTCGGTTAAATATCAAGATAAGACAAAATGAGATTCGTTGCTCTCCAGTGACCAATCAATGTACAAAACAGAGTACAAATAAGTGTATGTCATAACCTTTACTAATCTTGTAAACTATTTTACGCGCTAACTGAATATTTACACAAGTAACAGGAGAATACTTGAGTGAATTTCAACCACTTAAATGAAATTCAAAAAACCTTGGAAATTCCTCTCATGTCAGTCAATAAAGTCCTTCTTAACACTGAAAATATTTCCAACTCGAAACAACCGATAGTAATATTCATTTCCGTTTCGTACATGACATGTATGGAACCTCTCACTTACCTTTCACGTTTATTGAGTAAATGACTATAAGAAAAGCCAGCATATCTGCATTGCCAAACCTGGCAGAAGGTGAGTATCCAGTCGACACGCCCATGGCCGTGTTTGCAGCTTGCCTGGATTTCTCGGACTCACTGTTACCAAGCTCAACCAAGATCTCTCATAATTACAGGAAATAGAATCTTAAACGCTAAGTATATCAGACTAGTTCCCCTGTGGTTATCACAAGAGGACTTCCCCCTTTTATCCAAGACTGGCATAACCAGTGACAGACGAGTCGGAGGGCATCATATCTGATTTCCATTCACAAGTCAACACCATCTAATTTAAACAATAATCCACGACCACCATCCTTAAATACCTCTTGTACTACTCCATCTGGTCCTGCTGCTCTTCCTCGCCTCAGAATGCCTGCAGCTTCCTCAACTTCTGCAAATGTTGATGGCTCTTTCTCGATATCTCATTCACGATCCGACTGGACAACAGGCAACGGAATAGTAACTGGAGGTCAGTTAAACTGTTCCTCGAAGTGTTCCACTCATCGTTCCTGTTGTCTGTCCTGCGAGTGAATCACAGACTTATCCTTCTCCATTATCGTCTCACCAGTCACTGACATATCTGCTCTCCGTCTACTTGATCAATCTAAACAACTGGCTACAATCACCTATCGCCACTGCTTTTCCCATCTCTTCAGCCTTCGTTACCCACCCACAATTGTTCGCTGTCATTGCCTAGACGTTTGACCAATCCACATAACTGTTGCTTCCACTCACTGTGTTGGAAGCCTGTCTGAGTGCGTTCGCGTGCGTCCACTAATCAAGACGAAGCAGTTGAGATCCATTGGCATCCTTTTCCACATTCTGAGAGTTGGTGATGGTCTTCAATGCTGTTTTTATAGTAGACTAGAGAGGGCACTAGATTTCGCCAAAGAAAGTAGCTATGTCATGTTACGCTAACTGTCTAAACTTTTCCAAAATAACCGCATCATAGAGTTGAGTTCACAACCGTCTACTGCAGTTGTCACACATCCATTTTAACGCAGCATGAAGAATGCACCGACGAGCATCTGATCCACTACACAAAAATGTGCAACAGAAGGAGTGGAGATCTTCCAACGATGACTGGTAGAAATACAGGTTTCCAATACAGACTGATGGTCACCAAATCACACAATATCTCTCCATTTCCATTTAAGAAATTCGTGCTAACCAGAAATAAGTCATCTTCTGAGCACAACTATGACAGACAGTCGCCATTGTAATTGAGATGAGTAAGGATTGCAAAATTACTACCTGAGTGACTTTCTGTTTGACTTAGCCTTCCTATTTGTATATCGAGATCACCCGCTACGATGACCCCATCCAAACGTCTGGCTTTCAATGGGAGGGTAGAAAGTTTACAGTAGAACTCACAATTCAGCTCATTCAAACTGCAATCAGTGGATGCAGATTTAGGATATTAGAAGGAGATAATGGCGAGCTTCACCACTATTCCTCTAAGTACTTAACACATCATTCAACTGAACAAAGCCTGGAAGACTGTAAACTGGGACCCAGTAGACGAGTGCAGTTTCTGCCTCAGGCTATAATGCTATGCTCACACCTGCGTCACTACAAGAATTGGCCGAGGAATCTACGGAAATTCCGATGGCGAATTTTGCAGATCCACTGCACATGTTAGGTAAGAGAATAAGCACATTCGGATTCTGCATTTGTGTCTCACGAACACTGAAAACGTCCATGGTTTGAGATGCCACAGTTTTGGTTACTAAGGCCTCACTTGAAGTATGATCTCAGGATACGAATTTGCTTGTAAGTGAGCTTCGATTGTTATCATAAGCTGCAGAGTTAAAAAATAAAGGTATTACAGAGTGCCAAGGAAAAGGGTAATCTTTTTTTAGTAAAGACTTGTGTTTTGAGAGAGACATGATGGTTGACATTTCTCGAAGAAGAGTATGATGTTTTTAGCGCAGCCTTTTCCAACCGTTCCTCCCCAGAACAGGAAAACAGTATCATCTAGTATGATCATTTGAGGGAAGCATTTGACTTCTACAGTACTCCATGCAGCCAGTGGCACAATATCGTCTTTGGATCCCTAGCATACTGTGTGTTATTGATACAGAAACCATCATTGCTCACAGTTTTACCAGTACCTATGATACTTTTCATGAAAGAAAGAAACCTAACTGGTTATTTCGATGGTTGCTAGAGTAGTCTTCAGAGTTATTCACAAGGTTTTCAGATTTTTCATTTCAATGAGTTGGTGTTTTGACTATGTTCCCACGCTATCGATACGGATGATCGATTAACACAGGAAAACCCTACAAATTTGTTCGGAAGGCATAGTGAATTACAGCGTTTTATTACATATATTATCAGTATATATGGGGTTAAATAAATCCGTGTCTACCCCCCTATTTGTCAAACAAAAAATTTTCACATCATTCTAAGGCCATGATTTCCTTCTAACTTTAACGATCCCTGACGTACATAGAAACTAACTTATTGATCGTGGCCATCCCAGATAGTTTTAATTGCCATCCAGCATTTAATAAAAGATAAGAAAAAGATTTCCGTAGATAAGCTTCCACTGGTAAAAAAGAAAAATAGATGTCAAATTACTGACTAGAGTATGCAAACCAAAACGCACGTGTGAATAAACGTCTTTTAAAACCTTAAGGAAGACGCGTGTTGCGTAATTGGCACATTAAAAAAATGTACCATTTGAAAAAGAAAAAAATATTTTTTAAAGCCATAAATACCTGTCAGCATTTACTCTTGGTGAGTAAAAGATGATTTATACCAATAAACATCGATTTAATTTAGCCTGATAAAAAACACTTCATTACTTCTATTAACAATTCAATGTTTGCTAATCCACATACAAAGAACTTACATTAATACAATTATGAGATTTAAATTGATCCATCGAATGAATGGGTAAATTTTTATCTGATTTTGGGACTTTTTCTTGCTTACTTGATGAACTTGACTCAAATGTATCCGACGCTGTATCATAATGACTTTTAGTCAGTTGTGAATACAGGCAGTTTGAAGGAAACTTTGCATTGTGTTCACACCCAGTAAGATAATCAATATACAGACCATTACATTCTACAGGATGACTGGAAAAGCGTCGTCTTGGATTCATAGCAATCCTGAAAGAAATGATCAAATACAGATAAAGACGGAAACTAACTCAATGACGGGAAATAGACTGTATTCATACTAAAAATATGAGTCCATTATTACTTTCGACGAAAAAAACGCTAACAGTGATGGACTTAATACCATTGTCATGGAAACTAGTTAAGCGGAGATTCAATAGGATAGCCAATTGTTGGAACAGATAAAAATGAAATATTGCTAGTATTTGACTAATTGGAAAAGTAAAATTAGTCATAGCAAGGAGGTACTGTCGATATCTAAAACTATTCATATTGCATAACAGATGCTCTATTCGGATGGAAAACAGCTCGAAGAATATTAATCTTGTTGTGTATAGTTGACATTGATTTCAGAAAGTAGATTTCATCAGAAAACCCAGAATAACACATCGAAACATAATGACTAGGATTACGAGATCTCGTCATAACTTATTCGTCCAATTACTAGTTGAAGCATGATTTGTGAATTTTTTTTACAGTATTCACAATGTCTGACCTTACTCATTTAGACAAATGCTAAGATGTTATTTTCACTGGGTGTTTATACAGATAGAGACAAAATTCAACAAGTGTGGATATGAATAAATGCACATGAAAGATGCGTTTGGTACACTTCCTTCCAAATAAATGCACCGCTAACAAATGTCTTAGTAAACTACTTTTTTGCCCAAAATATTTAGATCACTAAGTATAACTACACTGAGTTTGATAGACTTTAGGATCAAATTCAACCTGATAGAGCTGAATAAGTTGGGCATTAAATAGATGGATTATAGATGAAATATATTCGTAAAATCCCAGTGAGGTAGAAAAACAAATTTCTGATATTTCGCGACCTCATGGAAGTCGCTCCTTCAGAGAATTAAATCTGTACAAGTTGTCGCATGTTTAAATAGTAAATGGCGACAGATCATACTACATTGTTCATACATAATAATAATATGTGGATAAGTGTAATCGTTATCATTTATTTGTCCGTGAGTTCAAACTGAAGATATGGATGAGTCCGAAGGTGTGGGGAAGTAACATGGATGGAGAATTCGTTTTGTTTGTATGTACTTTAGTTATGACTAGTATGTGTGATCTGTTATTTCAGATATACCGTCGAAATTGGTCGGATATTTATGCGTTCCCTTCAGTTGAATGCATGAAAACTCAACATAATGTGAAGTACCTCAGCTACCCTTTCTCCAATGAAGTTTGAAAAGCCTATTTGAATAATTTTAATACTTTCTCTATCAATTTTGTGACTATGACAGATGGCATGAACAACAATTGCCGATTTGATTTGTATATTCTCTAGTTTTAAAGGATCATGTGGAGGTCGCTTTTAGTAACTTGCATGGTTTTTAGCACGAATGAGGAACTCTCCGAATGACTCCCCAATATAATAAGCATCATAATCAACAAAGCTTAACCTATGTGATTTCTTCATCCATTACATTTTTTTCATACCACCTTGAACTCACGGATTAGTGGTTGATAATGATGACAAATATTGTTATCACGTATGAACAATGTAATCTGATCTGTCGCCATTTACTATTTAAAAATGCAACAACTTGTACAGATTCCATTCTCTGAAGGAGCGACTTCCATGAGGTCGCGAAATATCAGAAATTTATTTTTTTTATCTCACTGAGGTTAAATACCTCACAACTAGCAGACCATTTTCCTGACTGATGAAAATTTACAAGGTACTTAAAACATGCTTATTACATTTGACTGAATGTAAAAGATAAAAGTGATTTCTTACTTACTTACTATATACTTATCCCTTGAACGATGCACAACAGATAGCTAAACAGCATTTACTAACTGGTTTCCTCGCTCTCTTTCACATTGCATAGTCTCCACATAGTTTACTACTCTGGAAATTAGACTCAGCAGATGAAAAAAGTATATTATAGAACCAGTTCAATATTGATAATCAATTGGTCACCTCCAAGTACTGCGGTTTGTTCTCGGACATTTTACCACCGGGCTAAGTGACTTCATCGCCACTTACTTCATAAAGAAGTGAAGTAGTTTTGAGTCCCATGAATGTTCATGAAGAATATTTGCCTACCTTGAGCGTTACTGGCTTATGGGTAGGAACCACCTGTGCTTTTCTTATCAAAAGTTGACCTTTATAATTGTTATCGTTTGACCTGCCTCGACGTGCGATGTTAAGGGAAGTTGGATTAGGTTGGAAGAGGGTTCATGGTGACCACACCAAAATGTGGCAAAAGTGCATGAAGTCACTGACTGTTGGTCTGAATCGTGTAGGGAGATGTAGACTACCTGACAGGTCACCGAGATGATAGGAACCAGTGGTTGAGGACTCTCGGTGACATGGCTGAAATCCGGTCATAATGCCGCAAATGTATTCACGCTTTAGCATCCTCTAAAGCTTGAACATTCGAACTAACACTATGGTAGAGTGGGTGTACTTTCTACGATTTACAAACGAAATCAGTTGGCACTGTTCATATAGTACTTTAAAACAGAACAGTTGAATCCCGATATTACTGTTATGTGTCTTAATGCGTTTAGTTAACAGCTGACTATTCAAGTATTATTATTATTACTTGATAAGTTTAAATTATTTTCCATTTTGGCTGCTTTACCAAATAACGCTAACCTGTCGCTCACGATACCGAAAAATTAATTGAAGTGTAACTTATCGTAATCTAGTTTCAATAGGGATTACCTTAGCATTCTATAAAGTGAATCATGTAATAAGACTACTTTTCAGTCGACTGTTTTTCTTTAAAAAGAAACAACGCATAACATGCCACAATGATGAGTACACCAGTTCGCAGAAATCAACAGCCAGAAGGAAGTGTCGGAACTAATGACAGTGAAAACAAGGGACTGAAAAAGAAACAGTAAATAAGTTTAGAACAAGATTACCACTGACTTCATCGACAAATAGATTTTGTTTCACCGAATCCTTTACCTAGAAGACATATAGGCTTACTGAAGGCTCATTACCCGAATACCAACCGTCAGTGATATTAGAATCTGCAGTGAGATGGTCTTCATTAAAGATGTCTATCCTCTCTATTTTCATTCAAACTCCTTAAGAGAGAGTATCCAAGACTATCTGGTCTCGAAAACAGTAAGTTACAGCTTAACCACTGGGTTGCATTATAATGCTCTATATTTTCTGACTTCAGTTAGTTTGAAATATAGTGTAATGGATAGGTTGCTTTTAAGGAATATTTCTCATTTTGGTCAAAGACAGTTTTTGTATACTTCCTCACTACACTGATTAAAAAGGTTCAACATAATTTAACACATATCTTTCTTCGAATATGACCTTGACGAAGTTTATCAGATCATCTAAATAACTAAGAAGAGGAAACCGTTTACAGATAGTGACAGATCAGTTACGTCTCACTCGTTAATTCCTATACTCATTCAAAGTAAGAGATTCACTTAAAAAGAAAGGACTCCGAGCTATCTAGCAAAAGTAACCTAATATATCGACGCATAAATTATTGACAATAAAATATCAAAATTAAGCATCAGATGCTAGTTGCATGACAATTGCCCGACGTGTTATTTAACAGATTATAAAGGCATTAAACCAGTGTATGTTGTTCACCTGACTGAGGATAATGCACCATATCTAAAACACTTTCAGAAGTTTGAAATATTTATTTACGTGTGTAAAGCCACAGGACGGAGTAAACCAATTCTAGGTAAACCCACTCAACTTAAAATTCTATTGTTTTCAAGAAAGTCCAATTGTCATATTATTCTTTGAGATTTAGTTTATAAGCTTTTGAGCTGCACAACATTTGTTGTGTAAATGGTTTGACTATATGACATACTCTCAATACACTAAAACACAGACAATTACAGATTTACTTATGTATTGAGACTTAACACTTCAATTCACAAAAGTAAATATCAAATCAATCGTGAATATTTACTCTAAACGCTAACCTCTAAACATTGTCTGAATTGTAAATGTACTAAGATCTCAAGAAACATATCTGAAAAATTCCTTCTGAAACCTGTCAAAGTGGTGCCTTTGTATTTAAAAATAATCATACGATCATCACAAGACTCGTTCGATTAACAACACGAAACTTTTTGAGTAGCTTTGTTTATATCTTATATGTAGGGCTTGACGAGTAAGTGATCGGAAGAGGATCAGAATGCATTTTTATTATAATCACTGATACGAATCATCACAGGCCACAGAAACGCATACACAGACAGAAAAATGAGTAATTATTAGCACAATCTAGACAACAACTAATGTCGTAGTCTTGAAGTAAGAATAAACAATACTGAAGATAATAATGTTAATGCAGACATTAAAAAACATGCGCACACCTACAATAAAACTTTAATTGACATAAAATGTTATAAGTATACATAATGAAAGATTAGCGCTCGTATCTACATGTTCAATAAGGTCAATGAAGCATACAAATAGCTAGTAGGCTTAAATATGCTTCTTTGATCAATTACTTTCCAGGTTTATTAAAAGTCTGAAATCTTTCGAAGTTACACTGCATATAAGATAACATATAAACATAGCATATTGTGCATTCATACGACTCCTTTCCGTAATAAGAGGATACTTGAATCACTTAGATAAAAGATAAAAGAATAAGAGAAAGGCAGTCAAAAATGGTAAAATATCGTGAAAAGAGAAGCAGAAGAAATGAGACAATAATGAAATTTGAAATGATTAAGATGTAGATATGTGGGTGCTTCTGTACTACTGATATTCATTCTGAGAAACATCGCCCAGAGTGTTCAACCACTTGTTTCAGTTGTCACATGGACTCATATTGGGAAGCCTTCATTTCTCTATATAGCTTAAACCGACAGCCAGTGATTTCATAGATTGATGCCACCACTAACGATTTTCTAGCCTTAACCTACTTTAGTTAACATTGTGCGATAAGGTAGGTGGTGACTATGCATGAGAAACAGATGTCCCAGCCATCTAAATCAAAGGTTCAAAACCACATCAACTGACCTTC